TTTACAATTCTGAAGCAAGCCTAGATATTAAAGAGCTTAATAGGAGAGTCAAAGAAACACATCTTATGCTAAATAAAGGAACAATTCAACAAACCTTGTTATGGAAGTGGACTCTTGCAGGATGGGGGCCAGAATAAAATTACATGCATTCTTATCATTTAGCTGATCTCAAGGTGGATTTGATGGTGAATAAAATTCTTGTTCTCATAGTACTTAACATTGAAAGTGGAGTGGGTGATAAATCTAAAGCATAGACCACATATCTGCTGACAAGCTATGAAGAACAATAATAGAGCGCTAATAACAACCTTCTTTCTCTTTCCCTCCTTCTCCACCTCTAGTCTCTCTCTCTCGTTACTCTGTTGACTCCATTCTCAGGCAGGCTCTTCAGGATAGGAAAATGGTAGTCACATCTCCAAGTCCACAGCTCTGTATCTTCAAAGAGGCATGTCTGTCTTTTCTCTTAGTTCACCAAAGTCCTAAAACATCAACATCATTGCAAAATCCTAAAACCTCATTGCCTTGACTTGAGTCACATGACCATCATCGAAGCCAGTGGTCAGATGACTGTGATGCTATTTGACTGAACCTGGAGCTAAGGATATTAATTTGTCATGGAAAGTCTGTGTTTTGCTTTTATTTGAAGGAGTAGTAAATTGTGGTATAAATATAGTTGTCTACTGTGTAAAGTTAAAAGGGAGGATTAGCTAAGCAAAGTATAAGAGGGGGAAAGTGCCTTGTCAGAGAGAGAGATGAAGAGAAAGGAAGGTGGACTGTGTAACTCGACCACAAGTTGCAAGAAGCAGACTATCAGAATGGAGATGTAGGCTAGTGTCAAATTATGAGGGCACTATGAAAGGTCTTTCTCCAGAGAGCTCTTAGGCTGTACCCTCTCCAAGACATGCTTGTTTGCTCTATTTGCAGTCTATGTTCAGCACTCTTCTCCAACACCACAACTCAAAGGCATCAATTCTTATTCATTGTCCAGCTCTCCGATGTATAACAAGTGATTTGAAAGAACATGACCTGTATCAGACACAACTTAATCCTCAAACTGACATCATTACTTTTCAATAATTTGGAGGGGTCCCTAATTGCTGACTTTTCCAATACTGTAATACTGTGTGGAGGCAAAGATGATGAGACTTCCCGGCACATACTTCGGGCATGTTGCTAGGAGGGGCTCTTCCTTAGAGAGGGACATGGTGCTTGGAGAGGCATAGGGTCAGCAAAGTAGAGGAAGACTCTTAACCAGGCAGACTGACACAGTGACTGCTGCAGTGGGTGCTACTGTGTCAGGAAGTGTGAGGATGGCACAGGATAGAACAAGGTTCAGATCCACCACTGTTCATAGAGTCACTAAGGGTCATTCATATTCAACTTGATGGATGACACCTGACAATAGCAGAAAGAAAGGGTCTTCATTTTCATTCTAAGAGCCAATACAACTCTATGGAGTACTTTTTTAAAAAAAAAGAGGTGTTGAGTGGGATGGAAAGAGGTAGTGAATAAGGAAGTAATTGCCCAAATGGGACCTGCAAGCAGCCAGACCACACCTCTCAGAGAACAAAGATGACTAACAGCTTCCTAAAATATTAAAGGAACTTTTTCCAGAAAGAATGTTAAATTGGCTTTCACCTTTATTCCTCAGGCACATTTTAAAAAATTAATAAACAAGCTAAGTTTTGCAAAGTTAGATCCAGGCATTGGGAAGAGTGAGGCGAGGCCTCCGCACCCCTCCCCTGGCCTCAGCACTTCCGGGCCCTGGAGCTTCTCTCCCTTTGCTCCTTCCCCTCCACCCACCTCTAGTATTGCTTTTATTTCCTTATTTTATTTTATGCTGGTTTACATACAAAGTTCATATACATTGTTTGCTGCCTTTCCCTACCCCTCCCTCCACCCATCAAATTATGTGACCCTATGATTAAGCCACCCCCCCCACACACTTGTATCCTCATACTCAGTCTATAATAATGGTCTTGTACAGTATTTGTTCTTGTAAGACTGAGTCAGTTCACTCAGCATAATGCTCTCCACTCCCTCTCAACTTAGACCATAGTTTACAAAATCATTGCTCCTCCATGCTGTGTAGTATTCCATTGTGTGAAGGTACCATAATTCCTCAATTCAGCTTCATTTCCTCCTTTTGAGAGGTTCTGCCTTATGGAGCCAGGGGCATTTCCACCGTTCATTCTTTAAACGGCAGCTCCTAGAACAAGGAAGGTGTCAGAGTGCCTCCTCCAGTGCACCATGCTTGGCCCTGCCACTTCCATCCTGTGTGTGTTCTGATTACATGATTGCTACATTCCTAGCCGAGTTTCACCATGGGCTTGCAAACCCACCACTGGGTTTGAACACCTGTGACTGAGAACCCCCCAGATCTGTTATTTGACCCCACTTCTGCTGCTTCCATTAAGTGCCATCAAGTTGTCTATGACTCATAGCGACCCCTACTCTATCCTGGGCCATCCTCCTCATCTCTGACAAGCTCATGCCCATAGTTACAGGCACTATGTCAATCCCTCTCATTGAGGGTCTTCTTCTCTTTCTCTGACCCTCCACCCTTCCCATTACGATGTCTTTTTCCAAGGACTGGGCTCACTTGAAACGAAATCTAAAGTTTTCCATGTGGAAAACTAGGACTTCCTTTTAAAGTGGTGGGATTCTGTCTGTATGTTGCATTTAAATTAAAAGTTGTTATTGTTGTTGTTGTGTTTTTGTTTGTTTGTTTTAAATTTCATTATTAGTGTGTGTGTGTGTGTGTACCATCAAATCAGATCTGACTGGTACAGGAGGAGATTGTTCCTCCTCCAGCAGAGCATCTGGTGGATTTGAACCAGGCACCTCTGAGATTGCAGTGCAGCTTCTTGCTGTTGTTGTTGTTGTATGCCATGTCGAAACCAGCTCATAGCTGACCCTCCAGCGGGTTTTCAGAGGCAGGAGACTGCCCATCCTCCTGCCACAGAGCAACTGGTGAGTTTGAGCCGCATATGCCTCTGGGATTACAGCCCAGCTTCTTATCACTAGGCCACCAGAGCTCCCTAAATTGAAATTTATAAATACTTAAAAAGAACCTCATTTGTTGGACAAATATCCAGCAGGATGTCCCATTCAGGGACATCGAAGTCAGTAATTCCACAGGTAGAGCACTTGCTGTGCTTGAGACATTAGAGGTTCATCGCACCCCTGCACTTAGAGTTCACATTCTAGCAAAAAAGACCAACAATAGACAATACACCAAATAGATCAGGACATTATGTACTATGCATGAGAGTCCCAGTGGGGTGGAAAAGGAAGAGAGGTGGATTGGGAGGGTGCCTGGGCCTCTCTAACTGAGGACAGTTGCCTCAAATGTGGCTTAAAATAGAGCCTGGCAAGCAGAAGCTACTCTGTAGCTAATTCCCTTCCACTTTTCTGTGCCTAAAAATTCTCCCACATTAGAGTTTGACATTTATACCCAGTAAGCGAATGACCACTGAAGACAGAACAGAGGCAAATAATATAAGAAATACATTATCACTTAGTAACTTAGTTTTGGTTGTATTGCACAAGGCAGTTTCTAAAAATATTTTACGGTTACAGTTTTCATTCTATACAAATGCAAAGGATATTTCACCAGGAAGAAATCCAGTCCTGTGTATGTTGTGTAAGTAACAAACAAAAGACCCAAACTCATTGCTATCAAGGTTATTCCAACTCACAGAGACTACAGGACAAGAGAGAGGTGCTCCCTATGGTTCCACGCCTGTAGACTCTCGTCTTTCTCTGGAGAAGTGGTTGGTAGGTTTGAACTGCCAGACTCTTCAATTAGCACTCAGATGCTTTAACCACTACACTGTCAGGTATCCTTATAAATTGCATAGGCCTATGAAGTTAAAGGTCACAGGAACTGATGGGCAGTCTCCTCCTGTGTGATTTTCTGCCTCTGAAAATCCATTGGAGGGTCAACTATGAGTTGGTTCTGACTTGACAGCACACAAAAACCACAGTATACCTTAGGGAGCCCTTATGGCCTAGTGGGTAAGGAACTGTGCTGCCAACTCAAAGGAATGTGGTTCGAATATACCAAGGGAGAAAGATGGGAAGTCGCCTTCCATGTGATTTAGTGCCTCAGAAAACCCACTGTAGGGTCATTTGTAAGTAATTTCTGACACTGTGACACACAACAGTATGTGTGAATTATATTTCAATGAAAGAAACAAAGATATGGTTGTGGTTGGTATTGAACTCAGAGAGGTAGCTGCTCCAGTGGCCTGTCTAGGCAAAAACATGAACCTGAACGCAGATAGACAGTAGGACAGACACACTGGATAGGGGCAGTGGATGTGGATGCTTGTGTTATGGAGAAATCCCGGGCCGGAGGGAGATGGGTAGAGCCGATCTGTGATCTTGCTGCCTTTCCTGCTGTTCCTGCCTCTTCTCAAGAGACCTGGGCCAATGGGGAAACAAAATATCCACAGAGGAAATAACCAGAGATCAAGTCCGGTGAAGCCACCAGGTCTCAGAGATGAAACTCTTGTCCCTGCTAAGAAAGGCATATAGTCCTTGCTTCCCTGCACCTATGAAAGGCAGCAGTTGAACACACAGAGGACCAGAAGCATCACCTGTAGCTGAGGAATGCCTCTTCTCACCCAAGAAGACAGCTGGCTGAGTAAACACGATGCCTCCCTGTTGTCCATCTCTTTCCTCCCTGCCCCCATTTCTCTTTCTCTCTCCCTCATTGCTTTAGATGTCCGAGACTCTACAATACTCTGTCACTCAAGTCACACCCAGGATTCTACACATTCTCTGCTAGATTCCTGTCATCAGTCAGAGGATGAACAGTAACTGGAGCAGTTCACATCACAGACCCTCAGAAATATTAGTTTTGGTTTCTGGTAGAGAAATATGTGTCTTTGGGAGGTTTGTCTCTAGGCATGGTTGTGAGACAGGGTCTATATAACGGAGTGTCCGTAAGCCGTGTCTTCCCGCTGGGACTCTCACTGGTCTCTCTTCTGCAGGAGGCCGTGTCACGTTGCCCGGAGACAGACCAGCTGGCACGAATCCAGCATGTCATCCAGGAGCTTCCGCCATCCCATTATAGGTAAGAATCCTTGGTGAAATGAATTTATTGCATCTTAATGGGGTGTAACATGGAAGATGCAAACTAGCATCAAAAAAATTCATAAATTCAGTGAACAGTGGCTTTCCGGGACATTTGAAGGTGATCTAGCTCCTCACCAAGGATATTGGTGAAAAAAGATAGCTCATCTCCAAGTCCTTGCTAGATCTGCCTCCCAATCCCAGTGGAAGTCATTCCAGTCACATAGCCAGCCTGAAGGTGACATCCCATCGTTCTTGATTCTTTCAAGTCACCTAGGTTTCCACTGATTTGGTAATACAGCGCATACCCAAAACAGTGGACTCCAAAGTGGCTTTTAAGCAGATTTTGACAATAGCCTTGCATGCCTGATGAATTGGTCTCCTTTTTTCCTCATCAGTGCCATCCGTAATTTCATCTGCATCCTTTCTCTCTGTTTTCACATTTTAGTCCCTAATTTTACCACTCTTCTCAGAATTCTCTGTACTTGCCTGTCTCATACAAGGGGGCAAATTTTTATCTGAAAATAAAAATAAGAAAAACTTCTTGGTAGTAACTCATTACCAACAAGTCGGACCACTAACCCATAGCTGTCACTCATTCGGGTTCCCTAGGCTATAAATGTCAAGGGTTGTAGCAGGACTTCAGGCCTTTTGTTCATAGAGTCACTATGAGTCGTGCTCGACTCGAAGGCAATCAACACCACCACCAACAGCAAATGGCATGGGAGGAGACCGCCCATCTGTGTCCTGAGGAGCTGCTGGTGGATTTGAACTCCAGAAAGGCACACCCTCTGGGTTAGCAGTTCAATTCCCTACAGACAAGGCCACCAATGCTCTTACTAGCAGTGTTGTTATTGTTGTTGTTAGGAGCTGTTGAGTCGAGTATGACTCATAGTGACCCTGTGAACAAATGACGTGAACCCTGTCCTATCCTGCACCATCCACACACTTCCTGACACACAAGAGCCCTTTGCAGCAGTCACCGTGTCAGCCCACCTGGTTGAAGGTCTAAGGACATGATGAATGATGCTTACTAGCAATAATAATTATTCTCCAAAGGAGGCAGGCTCATTTGAGAACAGGGCTTCATGTTAATTCAGTCATGGCTTACAAAGTGAAGTCAAAGCAGACTCAATTTAAGGGGGGAAAAATGTAGGTGGCTCAAAATGATGACCATAATGGTAAAATTTAAGAGTCAGAGCCCTAAAATGAGAGGCTCAAAAGAGGTGTAGCGATCACTTTCTGCAGACTGATCTGGGAGATTGAATCGTTAGGAAGACCCACATTCAGAGTGACTTGGTCGACCACTATCTTTGAGTGACACACTATTGTTGCTGCCTTTTTTGGTCAGGAGATGTGGTTGCTGTGCAACACGCACATTGTTCTTCTTTTCTAAGAGAGAGATTTACTTTCTAGCTGAGCGTGAGCAGTCTTATTTATTCACATTTTAGAAATTCAAGTTTGATCTGGTTTCATTTCATTGGCCATGACTGAATTAGAGAGAAACAATTGGAAGCTCTGATTAAGAAGTATCAAGTACCAAAGCTAAACCAAGCCAACCGTACCCACTGCCATCAAATCAAACTGTGGCTTATAAAGACCCTATGGAACTTGGTAGAACTGCCCCAGGGGGGTTCCCAAGGTTTTAAATCTATTCCTCGAAGCAGCTTGTAGTTTCAACCCACTGACCTTTTGATTAGCAAGCGAGAGCTTACCAGGGCTCCTTTGTGACCCCAAAACTCATTGTCATTGAAACAGAACCAACTCATGCTGTTTGATCCTCTGGTGGAGATTCAGAGGCTGTAAATAGCACAAGAGGTGGTAAATATCATCTTTCTCCAGGGGAATCACCAGTGGGTTTGAACCACAAGAGAGGCGCTGCCTTTGGGTTAACTGGACAACTCCCTAAAGACAACGCTGCTATCCTTTGTAACTAGGAACATTCAAAAAAAAGAGCGCTTAGATGGGGCTGACTTCAAAATTGCATGGAGGTTGTACTGTGCAGAATGGAAGGAGATGACCTCTAAGAACCCTCACACTCTGAGGTTCTGGGGTTCCCTGACTCTGGGTCTGGCTGCAGCTCAATGGGCCTTTGCTAACTCCTGACAACACTGTCTCCTTCCCTGTACGCTAAGCCAGTTCACTTAGAGCCAAGAAAATTACTTCCATCAATCTTGATGTCTTGATATTCCTCCAAAATTCACAAGATAAAACATTTAGAGTGTCTTAAATCTAAACTGAGGGAATTAGCTCCAGATGGCTGATTTTACAAAAACACTAAAGTTTCTTACTTTGTCCAAAACAATGAACATTATAGGACCTTGGAATACCTGATTCGACACCTGGCCCACATTGCCTCCTTCAGCAGCAAGACCAACATGCATGCCAGGAACTTGGCTCTGGTGTGGGCGCCAAACCTCCTCAGGTAACCACCATACCTTCACCTCTCGCCTACCTGGTGGGCTCAGAGCAATTCCCAGTTGAAAACAATGATGAGTTCTTCTAAATTGAAGCTCCTTGAAGATAAACCCACATAGCTAGGTTATTTGTAGCATGTATGAATTGTTGTTGTTAAGTGCCGTCAAGTCGCAGGTGCTGTGTATGTATGAATTAAAGGGGATTTTAATACTATAAGTTCTTTGCCTGCTAATATTAGACCTCTGTGACCCAGCAAGAGCTTCTGACCATAACTGAGATATGACTAAGAAAGTGGGTCCTTACAGTACCATTGGGGGTACCAGTACCAGTGGGGGAGGGATTGTATACCAATGAAAGAACTTTTCCTTTTCGAAGAGAAGAGTGAACTTGGGGGGAAGGGGTGGGCAGGGAGAAAAGTGCAACAATGAATGAGTGGAAATCCAAAGTCTCTGTAAACTTTCATTAAAATTAATAATAAAAATTTAAAAGTAAAAGGGTGGAGGGAAGGGGAAAAAAATCTTCTTTGCCTGAGGTGCGCATTTGCACTTCTTGGTTTTGGTGGGGGTCACAGAGGGCTGTAACCTGAGTCACCTCCTTCATATGGCCTCATGAAAGCCAATCTGCCCCATCGAACACTTGGGCCAGAAGGACAGAGTATCTGTGAAGAAAAAAAGTAAAACCAATCAATTTTTACATATTTACTAATATACATTTATAATTTTGCAAAGAAGATCCTGTATATAATGCCTTGTTACCATTTTAAATTTGTTCAGTGTGTTTGGATTCATAGCCTTTGTAGAGTCCTTTGAAACCAAAACTCAACACAACACATTACCATTCAATTGATTCTGATGCTTGGCAGCCCTATGTGTTAAAATCTAAAATCTAAGTTTCTATAAACTTTCCTTAAAATCACAATTAAAATCAACAATTTTATTTTAAAAAACAACAACCAAACCCAATCCAGAAGCCTGTTTATAAAGTTTTCTTAGCTGTGATCCTTACAGACTCTGATCCCCAGGACTCTGCTCTGCAATGTTGCTGGATGGATTTGGCTTTCTAACCTTTAGGGTGGTAGTTGTGTTGTTGTTTTTGTTATGTGCCATTGAGTCAGAACCAACCCATAGCTGGCCCTCCAGCGGATTTTCAGAGGCAGTAATCACACTGGAGGAGAGGAGATTGCCCATCCTCCCACGAAGAAGCTGATGAATTTGAATCATGTGCCTTCGGGATTGCAGTGCATAGTCTTACCACTAGGCCTCCAGAGCTCCAGGGACCTGTAGAATCCTTTTAACTGATCTTAAATATATCTAAAATAGTCTACATGTTAACAAGCTGTGTAAGTGAAGAAGATGGGACTCATTCCCCTTACTGCTTCAGGCTCTAGGCCCCTTCACTAAACGTGTTCCTCTCACGCTTTAGGTCTAAAGAAATTGAAGCCACAGGTTGCAATGGAGATGCACCTTTCCTTGCAGTGCGGTTTCAGCAGATGGTGATTGAGTTCATCTTGAATCATGTGGATCAAATCTTTAACAACAGTGCATCTGGCTCTCTGGGAAATGATGGTAAGGGTCCCTCTTGATACTACTAGCCCATCTTCATTCTTTCTTGTCCTGGGGTTCATCTTGTTGAAGACTTGAGTGAGTATAGAGGCAGTGTGTTTATGCTGATAAGTATATTCCAAAGTTATTTATTGCTCACATGTGTATTCAGAGGACATTCTTCAGAAGTATTGATTGAGTACTTCCTATGTTCTATCCCGCACCAGGCACTAGGGATATAAAAACCAGCATGTGTTGTGTGTTAATGGGCATATATTTGCTGACAAGTTAGCAGTTTTGTAATTATAGCCATATTGGAAGGAACCCAGGCTGTACAGTTACTTAGCTGCTAATTCAGAAGTCTGATTTGAACTTACCAGCCACTTTATGGAGAAAGAGCTGGCAGTCTGCTCCTGTAATGATCACAGCTTTGGAAGTTTTAGGAGCCAGTCCGCTCTGTTCTTTAGGGTAACTGTGAGTCAGAAATGCCTTGATGGCAGCGAGTTTACCTTCTTACTCTATTTGGTCTCATTATGACTTAATGACCCCTGGAGTGAACTAGTTGATGCTGCCTGCTTACACGTGAGCCTGATTTATAAAACCCAGAAATCAAGTTATCAAGAACCTGCTGTCTGGTGTTAGTGTCTAACAATGGTTCGTTCCCCAAGGTTAGCATCACCCAACGGGATTGCTGAAGCACAGGTTAGCGGATTCATGCAGCTTATGATTCAGTAAATCTGTAGTGAGGTCAATCACCTGCATTTGTAACAAGTTTATGGGTGATGTGATGCTGATAGTGTGTGGCGTACACTGAGAGAACTGGTGTGTGAATGCCGTATCTGCAAATTATTTATGTTAGCTGATCAAAGCATTCTTTTCAAGTTCACGTAATGTATTTGGAAATATAATCAGAAAAATAAATTGTAATTCACAACCTATTCCAATTCCTGGTATGATTGTTCTCTAGGTTGTTTCTAATCGTTCTTTTTATTTTTGTATTAATTTTTCAGTATAAATGTAATTTATAAATGTACACTACATCAGACCATGTTTGGAAGTAATTGAGAACTGATGTATGTTCACTCATTCTTCCTTTTGAGGTAACAAGTAGCTGAATAGGGGCTTGCTCTCTGCCAGGAGCTGTTGCAGGCACTGTACACACAACATCTCCTTGACTTACACCAGCAATCACCAGGTAGTTGTCACCAACCTTATCTTAGAGATGAGATCCCAACAGCCAGAAAAAATTCATAACAATCCAAGGTCACATGGGTAATAATAATTGGTGGGATTGAATGTTGAACCCAAATCCTTCAGCCTATGCTCTTTATTTTTTTCCAACTCGAGTCCGCCTCTGTGAGGGGGGAAAAGATACATAAACAAACCATTGTGGAGGATAAATGACTTTGGAGGAATGTTCTTCTAGACAGCAAATTCCATTCATGATTGTGACTTTTAAGGTTGTTCCTAATTTCACCCTGGAAATGCCTGTTCGTTTTATGATTGCTTCTCTAATCATCTTTGGCCCCGTATATTGACATAAAATTTATTCTTGAACTTTTAACTCTTAATTGAGTCCTATAGTTGTATCTAAGTCCTCTAGAGCTGCTTTAACAGGAATGGCACACAAGTGTGGTTTTCAGAAACACAAATATTCTCACCATTTAGGAACCTGGAGTCCCAGCTGAGGGGCTGGCTTCAAGAAAAGGCTTCCTTTCTGTTGGCTTTGGAGGAAGATCATTGCTGGGAATGTCTGCTCCTGTGTCATCATCCTGTTGCTTGGCATGACTCTTCCTTCATCTTTCTTTCTCATCACTTGTTTAATTTCTTTCATATCTCAAGAAATGATTGCTCTAAGACACACTCTACATTAATCCGCCCTCGTTAACATAACAGCAAACCTTATTCCTAAATGGGTTATAACCACAGATAGAACCTAACCCAAGCCTTTGTCTTCAATTTCAACTGATAGCAAGTGACCCTATAGGACGGAGTGGAACTGACCTACAGGAGTCCCAAGGCTACTTGGAAATACAGCCTTTCTGGAAATAGACTACCACATCTTGCTGCTGAGGGGACAGCTAGTGGGTTCAAACTGCTGACCTCTTGGTTAGGAGCTGAGGGCTTAGCCACTGTGCTATGAGGACTGCTTACCTAGAGGCATACAGGTTAAGTCTGACAACACATAATTTAGGGGAACACAGCTCAATCCATAATAACCTGCTACTCAAATGTGTTTCAAGTCCACATTCTCAATATAAATTCTGACTGACTTTGGTAAAGCACCATACTTTTTTTTTTTTTTAAAGCACCATACTTAATGTTTATACAAAATGAATTTATGTCATATTATGTGGGATTTTAGATTTGCACAGGGTTCAAACTGAAAAGATTTTGGAAGTCATATAACCTAAAACCTTTTAGTACCTTTACTTAGCAAATGAATGCACTGAGGCCAGAGAGAGGGTGATGAGGCCACGATCCATTAAAAACAGAAATATGCCTCGAGCTCTTCCAATGTACCAGCACCGTTCTGGATCTTAGGGACACCTCAGTGCACAAAATAACCATGACCCTACCCCGATGACCTTCTCTATGCAGCTCTAGATGAGTGGGGAAGATAGGTAGTGTATTACGTTTATAAATAAGGGCATTATCACTTAAAAGACTATAAATAACTGGGGGGGAATAGAGCAGAGTGATGTGAGTTCCTCGGGGTTGGTATTTTGGGACAGCGTGATCCCTGGTCTATGAGGAAGTGACCTTTGAACTGAGACCTGAACAGCAAAAAGGAGCCAGCTGTGTGAGGATGTGGGGTTCAAGTGTACCAAGCACAGAGAACAGGAAATGCAAAAACCAGTGGTGGAAACAGACTCAAGATATTGCAGAAAGTAGGCCACTGTGGTCTCCAAAGTGAGATGTCCCCCCACTGCGGGCAGCAAAGGTGATTGCTGGGAGTTCTGGGAGAAACACATACGTTTTGCTCTACGTTTTCTTTTTACCTTATATTTTCCAATTCTTGTTCTTCTGGATACTTTTCACAATACCTGTGATACTAATACAGTGGTTTATAAGTACTGTTGTTGTTGTGTACCATAAAGTCAGAACCAACTCATAGCTGATCCTCCAGTGGGTTTGCAGAGGCCATTAATGGCATAGGAGGACATTGCCCATCCTTCTCCCATGGGGCAGCTTGTGGATTTGAACCACATGCCTTTGGAATTGCAGCACAGCTTCTTACCACCAGAGTGATAAGGATAATTAGGTTATACTATGTGGTAAGTATTAGTATTTATAAAGCTGTACGTAAAAGCAATGGGAGTACTTATTGAAAAATATTAACTGTGTTTTTTCCTGACCAGTAGGTGACGGGCAAAGAAGAGGAAATTAAATGAAAGGAATTTGTAGGTTGCACTAAGTGCAGTGAGAAAGCACTGGAAAGTCTTAAGACAGGAAGTGATGTGATGCAGGGAAGTGATGTGGTATGAACATTTGAGCTACTCAGGGGCAAGGTACTGATAGGCAGCAAGCTAGGAAATAGAGAAACTGATGAAAGAGCTACTGTGAAAATCCTGGTGGGAAATCGTAACAGTAAGCACCAGGACACTAGCAGTAGAAGGAAAAGCAGGCAGATTCAGTATGTCCTTGGAGTGAGAGTCTCAGGTAAAGTCTGGTTGCTCAGGAGGCAGGAGCTGCATCAAAGAAAGGAGGGAATAAAAGTAACTATCACTGCTCCCAGGTGTAGGGAGCAGCAACACCCTGATGGGGGTAAGCAGATAAGCACGACAGAGACACACCACTTTGGGAGCGTTTTGAGTAATAACTGCTCCAGCTTTGTTACTTATGGGTGCAAATGGGTGGTCAGTGGTACCTTTTGCTGATTTGGAGAAATATTGGAGCAGGAACCAGATTGGAGGTGAGGAGCATTCAAAGCAGGGTGTGACGTGTGGAGCTGGTGAGCAGTCCTCAGGGAAAGAGGGTGCTGACTCTGGGCACTGACTGCAGATTATTCCCTTCTCATCTTTCACTTATTCCCAGAGCAATCTAGTTTAGTTTTTAGTAAGTAAATAATGTTGTTGTTGATTGCCTTCGAGTTGAGCACGACTCATAGCGACCTTCTGAACAGAAGACCTGGAGCCTCTCTACGACTGTCGACATTTATTAAAGTTCATAAAGTTTCCAGAAGCATTTTGTTTAGGAAGTGGATGCTACTCCTGCTTCCAAACATGTCACATAATATATAAAGTAAACCTAAAACAGGACAAGAAAACGGATAGAACATGGATATAGGAAAAAGCAGATGGATTTTCTTGTTTTTAGTACACACATAGTAAGGAACTTTTTATGAAGAAAAACATGTGACAGTTATAATTATTTAGAACTCCAATAATGTTCATATACCATTTACTGAAGAGTTAACTGCCATGGTCAGTGAGATTAGACAACATGATCTTGAGTGCTCAAGTTTCACTAGTGTAAAGTATATAAAGGGCATAAAACATAGGGCACATTCTGATTTTTTCAATTCTAGTAGAAACAAGAAACACGGGAGTGAGGAGGTGGGGAGGATTTAGAATCTGTGATCAGATATTGAAAGTAAATGAATTATGAATATTCTTTACCCTTTTATGAGCTGCTGAAAACCTTGCTGAAAAGTTGTTAGGACTTCAGGATCTATTTCACTGTATTCCAGGGAGCTCTGGTGGATTAGTGGTAAGGAATTACCCTGCCAACTCAAAAGCACAAGGTTTAAATCTACCGCAGCTCCACAGGAGAAAGACAGGCACTCTCCTCCCCGGCTGTTTCCTGGAAGCCCACTGGAGGGTCTGCTATGAGTTGGTTCCAATGCCATGGTACATAACATCTCACTGAATGGCTCTTAGCTTGTCTTCCCTTGGAAATGCCCCAACATTACAAGCCATCTTCATTTTCTACGAGGCAGTGACTTAATTTCCTTCTACCTGAAGGAAATTTAAGTCAAGTTTTGAAGCAGGAGCAACATCCACTTCCTAAACCACATGCCTCTGGAAACTCTATGAACTGAGAGAAACAACGATAGTTATAGAAAGGCTTGAAGCCTTTTGTTCATAGGGTCGCTATGAGTCATGCTCGACTCATTGGCAATCAACAACAACAACAACCCAAAGAGAGTCATAATCTGCAAAGAAAATTAGTACCGTCATATTGCTTTCTGAAAATAAGAGAGATTGGTATTTTTTTAAAAAAAAGAAAGGAATTTCTTGGTCCTGGTATGTCCACATTATCTGGGAGCCTCTTCATACCAAGTCACAGAAAACTGGCCAGACCACCAAAGACTACATACAAGCAAACATAATCCTCTTTGTTTCTTTTTTCTGTCAGTATTTCTCAATTTAAACACTATTGAGTTAACCTTTGACAATATTGATCTATCAGCATCACTTTTTCTCCTAAAAGGAAAACCACTTAGAATAGGAAAGGGTTAGTATGACATCCTGGAAGATGACTGGTAATGATAAAAGCCACATATGTTTTAGGGAACATTGGGGACTGGAAAATGTCTTTTTATTACAGAGAAACCAGCCTAGATAATCTAGGGGAAGAAATGGGCTCTCGCTGTGCTTTATCCCAGCTGAATAATGGTGGTGCATTAGGGGCTGGACATACATTACCATCTGGTCAAAGCACTGAGCTGAGTTTCCGGGGTGAAGACCCCTGCTGTTATCTGGCTCACAGTAAATGTTCAGTAAGTGTTTGTCATATGAAAAAAAAAAAGTGTTTGTCATATGGATGGATGGAGGGTCGGTCTGTGAAAAGCACAGGTTGCTTTCTGAAGCCTCTTTCCCCCTCTGTCTCCTCTGGCTGAGAGAGTTGTAAATTTCCTGAGCAGCCTTAGCCCCAAGGCCTAGCCATCCCCCAGGAGAAACCCAGATTAGACCTGGTGAGAACACCTCCTCCCAGGACTGAGCTCTTCTCTTTCATTTTCAGAAAACCGACCCATCATGAAGAGCCTGACATTGCCAGCTCTCCCCTTGCCCATGAAGCTGGTGAGCCTGGAGGAAGCTCAGGCCCGGAGCCTGGCCACCAACCATCCTGCTCGGAAGGAGAGGCGGGAGAACAGCCTGCCTGAGATTGTCCCTCCTATGGGCACCCTCTTCCACACTGTCCTTGAATTACCAGACAGCAAGTGAGTAACATTTTCCCAAATAATGGGAAATGCAGGAGGAGGGAAGAGAAACACAGACTCAGGACTGTGATGGCAGCAGGAGTTTGGAGGTGTGGTCTGGGTCTGGTGTAAGGAAGCCTTCCAAAGAGAAAGGATTTGTCTCCATCACTCTCTCTTCAACGGTTGATGTCTTCAGTTCCTGAAGTTCCTTAAGGCCCTTTATCTCTAACCAAAGATTCCTCACACCACCACGGGGTAGCTGACATCCGTTTTTCCTTAGTTTAGACAAAAATGGGCTTAGTGTTTTAAAAAAGACATTTACTAAACACAAAAACATGATCTCCTCTTGCCTTCTGCCCTCATGTAACATTATGAAAGGTGTAGAGTTGAACCTTGACAGAGGACAAATTGACAAATAGCATCACCCTGGCCCGAGAGCCCATGCAGGAAGCACTGTGGGCACGCATGCCTGGCCTCCTTCCCTTCTCTCAAACCTGTCAGAAGGCTCCCTCCCCTCTAAAACCAAAGCAAATTGCATTTCTACTTGTAGGAGACGTTCTTTCCTTACTTCTTTCACTTTCTCTTGAGGCCTTTGAGTTGTGGTGTTGGAGAAGTGTCTTAAACATACCATGGACCGCCAAGAAAACAAATAGGTCTTTCTTGGAGAGAGTGAAACCAAGTTTCTCCTTGGAGGCTAGGATTTTGAAGCTCCACCTCACATACTTTGGTCCTGTAGCCAGGAGGGACCAGTCCTTGTAAAAGGACATCGTGCTTCGAAGGGTAGAGGGACACCACAGGATAGGGGGACTCCAGATGAGATGGATTGATGCAGTGACTGGGGCAATGGGGTTTTTGTGTTATAGTTAGTGAGACTGGCTCAGAACAGGGCAGGCTTCAGAGCTATTATACACAGGGTCGCTATGGGTTGCAGGCAACATAACAACAACAACAACAACAACAGTATTGCAACTCTAGTCTCTGTCTGTCTCCATTTGCACCCCAGTGTAGAGGAGGATAACCATTAAAGCAGGAATTCTAATTTTAGGCAGATAATTGGAGAAAGAGCTGAAAGGAAATCTTGTCGCTGGATAATGTTATCTTGCTGTTCAGTCCATGAAAATGGGGTATAAAAACAGGCACATATGACTTCTTCTCATAGCCCTCCCCAAGATGGCCCGTCTGGTCCCCTTTGGGGGACAAGAGAGGTCTATCAGAATGGCACACTCAGAACACACCTGTCAAGAAATCCCTCCATCTCCTGGATGCATGACTCATCCTGACTGAGTCCCACTGCTCTTCCCCTAAATCCTTGGAGAATAGAGTTTCTATCCACAGATCAGGGAGTAAAAAAGAGTCTCACAGAAGGACCATCAAATCCCTTATGTCTGTGCCATCAACCACACCAGGGTATTCCACACTCCTAGATACGCTACCCAGTAAAATACCCTCAAAGTCCTATGTGTGGAGTAAACCAGGTCTACAAGGATTCATGAAGTACTGACCATCCATCTCTCTCTTATTAATTATAAAATCATGCTGGCTTGAGACCTGGATCCTCTTAGAAAAGTTTCTTGAGCCTTCCCAAGGAAAGATCCTCTGTGGAATCTTCTGGTTTCAAGGACTCATCTTGGCCCTGAGGCTTGACCTTGGACCTTCTTTCATCATGACCCAAGTCACAGCGGGTGAGACCTCGGCGGTGACCCCTGGTGGTATCCGTCTCTCCTGCACCCTCCCAGCTAAGTTTAACACCTGCCTTTCCTGCACCAGGAAAATGACATAGAAGTTAGACACACTATCTTCCTCACATTTCTCTGCAATGGCTATGGACCACACTCAGCACACTGTGACTTTTTCTCATCCTCTGCCTCTTTTCATTGCTCATGGGTCTGTCAAAAGTAGGAAAAGATTTAACTTGTTTTCCAGGTATACTTTCTCATCCAGTGTTTCTTCAGTCCAGTAAAGACGTTAGTAGTGCTTTCCTTACCTGTGGATACCCCTGTTGTGAGGCTACAGTTCATGTTCATAATGTAGCCTTTGGTTTTTAGTGGTTACACCTTTAAAATAAACAAATATAGATAGATAGATAGATAGATAGATAGATAGATAGATAGATAGATAGATCGGTAGATAGAGCAGTAGATAGATGATGGAAATAGATAAATAGATGATGGATGAGTGGCCAGATACATAGATGGTTAGATGAGTTAATATCTTTAAAAACCCAGGATTCACGTACCTATAAGGATTTCCCCACAAAGAAATTATGACCTGAATCTCTCACAAATCTATGTCCCTCCCTACCTGTCAGTATCTTACTCCTAGTAATACTGACTTTGATAACTTAGTTAAAAGGAGGATCAATAGGTTTTTGTCATTAGAAGGTGGGGGGTTTTTTTCTTGGTAATTAATAAATATCTCCTAGAAGTTCTTTTTGAGACCATATAGGTGTCTTATTTCTCATTCAAATACCTTCTTTTTCATTATACTCTCATCTTTAATAGCATAACCACTGTGTCAATATTTCTGTAAAGAGACTCTAATAATGAAAAAGATCATATGCTCACTTCAACAACACATATACTACAATTGGAATGATACAGAGAAGATCTGCATGGCCCCTGAGCAAGGATGACACACATATTCATAAAGCATTCCATATTTTTAACATACTTCTAAGTGGTAAAGCAGTCTTCTGTCAAAATGCTGTACTGATTTAACCTGAGGTTGCTGTGATGCTGAACCTTGTGCCATTGGGGTGTCAGATATCATAATGGTTACCCCTAGTGGACAGTGTTTGGTGGAGCTCCCAGTGTAAGACAGGTTTGGAAGCAGGAGTGGCATCCACTTCCTAAACAACATGCATCTAGAAACTCTGTGAATTTTGATAAATGTAGATAGTTGTAGAGGGGCTTCAGGCCTATTGTTCATAGTATCACTATGAGTCATGCTTGACTCAAAGGCGGTCAATAACAACACAGCAACAACAACCCCTCTCCTTACAGAATATAACCATTGCTCTGATTCATGACCAGGCAGCCATCTAGGACATACTAGACAGAATCAAAGTCAGATTCAACTTGGATTTTATAGAGGAGTTTCCTGAAATGCCAAAGCTATCCATAATTATCAATATGATTAGAATATTTTTCTCTATGTAAAAGTCCAACTGAAATTACAAACTGATACTTAATTGCTTGCCTCCTTTAGAAGAAAGCTCTCCAGTAAATCAAAGAAGTGGAAGTCAATATTTAACCTCGGGCGCTCGGGAGCGGACTCCAAATCAAAGCTGAGTAGAAATGGGAGCGTGTTTGTCAGAGGACAAAGGCTCTCAGGTAAGACAGAGTAACAGTTGTGTTTTATGAAGGTTCTTTCTCCCAGCTTTTCTTCCCAAGTCTGTATTCTTATCAACTCACACTCAGCCCTGAAAGAGAAATTTAACTTACAAGTTAGTTAGAGTGTCTTTTGAAAAGAATCTGGATTTATAAAAATGTTGCAAAAGTAACACAAAGAGAGAGTAGTGTACACTTCACACAGGTCCTACTAAGGTTAGCATCTTAGATGACTGTAATACAATCATCAAAGCAGGGAAATTCATATTGAGACAGTATTATTAACCCGTTTACCAACCTTATTCAGATTACACCAATTGTCCATTAATTGTTCTTTTTCTAATACAAGATCCTACATAATATTTAGTGATCCTGTCTCATTAAAATCCTCCAAAACTGGGTCAGTTCCTGCATCTTTCTTTACCTTTATGACTTTGGCACTTTTGGAGACGACTGGCCAGTTATTTTGTATAATACTGTATTCAATTTGGATTTTTCTGGTATTTTCTCATGACAAGACTAAAGTCGGGAATTCTTGCAGTAGTAACACCACGGAAGTGATATGCCCTACTCATTGTATTATATCAGGAGGTACTTATGTTAATATCTTTCTGCTGGTGATGCTAAATTTGATCACTTAGTTAAAGAAATATCTGTAGGTTTTGCCATTATAAAGTTTTTTTTCTTTGCAATTAATAAATCCCTCCCAAGACTTATTTTGAAACCACTCCACTATCTTCTTTTTCCTTATACTTTTCATCCAAGTACTTTAGCACCCATTGATGATGCTTGCCTATCATGTTGGCCAAATGGTGATTTTATAGTTCCCTTATTCACTCACTGTTTATTAATTGGAATTTTGTTCTAAGGAAGAGCTATCCTTTCTCCTCTGAAGGTATGGTTTTTAAATAGGGATGCTGCATTGTGGAACTTTTTTCCAACTACTGAATAGAAATTGATGCAGGAAGGAACCAAGGAAACCAATATTACAGTGAGGAATATCACTCATCCAGCTGGACATTGAGTCAGGAAAAGGAAGAGCATGCAATTGTGTGTAAGGTGTTTTAGGGGTATAGACTGAAAGTATGATAAAAAGAGAGTGATTATTTGGGGGTTTGGGTTTTTTTTTAAAAAAAAAAAAAAAAGCCTAGCTGGAAAGAGGAAGCCTTGTTTATATCTTCCAGGGGAAAAAAGTTTCAAAATGTAGTTTGAGGGAAGAAGTGGAGAAAATACGCACATACACTGGATATTAAATGGTATTAAGTTCTTAGGAGATAAGAGCTAAAGTTCAAGTATTTAAGAGTAAAGTGTTGAAATATTGTGAAACACTTTCAAATGGTTCAGCAGATGTAGGTAAGTAGGTAAATACAGATTTAAAAACAAGTATTGCAAAATGCTGGCAACTCTTGATACTAGCCAGTTCGCTTCTGAGGTCTTCATTTTTTCTGAATGTTTAAACTTTTTAAATTATATAGATTTGGGGGAAGAAAAAGTTAATATCCATATGAAAAATAAGGGATAATGTTTACATTTCCCCCCCTGATCCCAGTCCTAATTGTATGCCAAAAATTCAGAAACCAGATAGTAGAAATATTAAGGTTTGATTATTAAGAATACTGAAAAATGCTACAGAGCATAGCAATTAATGATTATTTCATCTGTAAAAATAGAAAATTCAGTTCACCTGGCTTATAACAAGGGCATTTACTGGCTTCTGTAATTGAATATTCAGACATATGGTAGGCTTCAGGAGTGATTTAATACCATTTCTCTCTCTCCATTTCTGAATTTTCCCACAGCAGGAGTTTAGCCTCAACCCTTGGCTTCTCTCACTATGGCAAATGACTGCAGGGCTCTGGCTATCACCTTGTATACACAGGGAGAAAAAGCATCATTTCTTGTGGCTAGTTCCCAAACCCCAAAAACGTACTTAGCCAAAACCCCCCACCAAACTCCTCAGATCTCATGAAATTTGACTAAAGCACATAGATCAATCCCTAAGACAAAAGAAATGCCTTATGATGATTGACTTAAGCTGGATTGGCTACTGAACCAATCAATCACTGTTGCATGAGAAACGGGATCACCAGGCAGATGAACCCAGGAAATGCCAGACTCAGTGAGAAGGAAGAAAAGGATTATGGGTGGGCGTCTACATGATGGGGAAAGCACATCTTTGCAAAATGGAAAGAGCCTAAATGAACAAAGTCGGTGTGGTAGATTAGATCTTGATCAGAAAGTAGGAATCTAAAAGAAGAATTTGGGGGAGGGGGCATTAATCATTGAGTTGTATAATTTGATAGATGGGGGTGAGGGAAACTGAAAGAATTTGTTCAAATTTATATTCAAATTTTCTAAATAAACTAGTATAGGGAATTTTTAAAAACATTTATAAAATAAAGTTTATTTTCGAAATAAACTAGTATAGGGAATTTTTTTTTTTATTTATAAAAAAAAGGACATGCCTCCCATGTCCTCAGTGAGAGCTACATCCAAAGCTGGAAGGCCAGGAGGCTAATTCCGAACCTCCCAGAAGAAACTAGGGTTTAGAACAGAGATGCAAAAAAGAGACTTGGCTGCTAACAAAAAACTCGGCAGTTCAAATCCATCAAGAGGCACCTTGGAAGACAGGCCTGCCAGTCTGTTTCGGAAAGCTCACGATCCTTGAAAACAGCCAAACGGAGCCCAGTTCTGCTCTGACACACATGGACCAGCATGAGTTGATGTGGACAACTGGTGTATTTTTTAAAAGAGAGACAAAACAGCTACTGTCAAATTGAAAGAATTCCTGTCATTTGGATCAAGGCCAACCATGGCTGCTTCCTATAGAGCTCTCTCCCCTATTCCACTTTGTTGCCTAGCCTTTGAATAACAATCTTGAATAGCAGCAACAGTAAACAGTAGTTACACACTATTCTATACTGATGCACCATAATCATTACTTTATGTACGTTACTCATTTGGTCCTTACAACTGTCCTATTTTCTGTCACTTGCACATGAAAAAAACTGAAACTTAACAGACGTTTAGGTGATTAGGTGCTTGTGTGATGTTACTCAGCCCTAAGTGGCAGTGCTGGGATTCAAACCCAGCTCTCTGTGAACCCAGAGTTGCCCTAAAGGCTGCTGGTCCTGGGGCTTTTTATTGACTTCAGAGCCTTCTTCCCTTTCCTCGCAAGTTTGACTCAGAAAGAGGCACCTTTCGGCAATTCAGTCAGTCCCCTGACAAGAGGTATTTGTGAAAGCATCTAACACCATGTCTGGGGTAGTTAAAAATTTTTCCATTTATTCAAACCTCACACCATTCCAGAAAGCTTACAGATATGCACAGAGTATGGCAGGCACAAGGTCTGTGCTCAGTGCAGATCAGGCTGAGATCAGCTCTGAAGTGAGGCTGGTGGGTGGGGCCTGGGGAAGGCACAGTCTGCAGGCTTCCTGGAGCAAACTGCAACGAGGAGAAATGCAGTCCCCAGTGTCCTGGACCCCCACACCTGTCATATCCAAGAGCTGGGTGCCGATCAGTGTGGCTCCTGGTCAAGAATCTAGCTCTCTAGCTTGACAAACCCAAGAGTTTCTTCCCATAAAGTCATTATTGGATCCTTTTTCTAAAATTTCTAAAATTGAGCTTAAGACTCTTTGCTTACCAACAGCCACTTTACAAACTTGCTTTTTCTCTTTATCTGTAAAATGTAAGACTCTGATCTACACACCCTCTATTTTTAGAAGGATAGTCCCATTAAGAATGCAGAAACTAACAATAGTGTTTTATCCAAGCCCCAGGTCATATGGTAGTAAGGGGTAGAGCTGATTATCTGGCAGGTGTTTCCTGTAAATTGTATGAACTTACACATAGTTCTAATATTTTGTCAAATATACAACACACATTATGGGTATCCTTTGTAGTTATTTAAATGTATATTGAGGAACAAACTGTGGCTGACTCTGAGAAGAATGGGAATACCAGAACACTTGATCATTCTAATGCGAAACTTATACTTGGACCAGGAGGCAGTCGTCAGAACAGAGCAAGGGAACACTGCATGGTTCAAAATTGGGAAGGGTGTACACCAGGGATGCATCCTATCTCCATACCTTTTCAACCTATATGCAGAACAGAGTATCTGTGAGGCTGGGCTCTATGAGGAGAAATGTGGGGTCAAGATTGGTGGAAGATCTGTCAACAATCTGTGTTATGCAGATGACACAACCCTGCTTGCTGAAACTGGGGAGGACCTGAAGCGCTTACTGCAGAGGACTGCAGCCTCCAATATGGATTGAGGCTCAATGTCAAGAAGACAAAGATTTCTCTCCACTGGGCCAATTGGCAGCATCAGGATGGATGGTGAAGAGATTGAGATTGTTCACAGCTTCAGTTTGCTTGGCTCCATGGTCAACACTCTTGGCACCAGTAGCCAGGAAATTAGAAGACATATTGCCATGGGAAAGTCTGCTCTTAGGGACCTCTCCAAAGTACTGAAGAGCAATGGTGTCTCTTTGGAGACCAAGGTGCGTCTGATACAGGCCATGGTCTTTGCTATCACTTGTTATGGATCAGAGAGTTGGACAGTGACTAAGGAGGATAGAAGGAGAATTGATGCCTTTGAGCATTGGTGCTGGAGAAGAGTATTGAGGGTACCATGGACTGCTAGGAAAACAAACAGATTCATCCTGGAAAGGGTCAAACTGGGCTGCTCCTTGGAGGCAAGGATTCTGAGACTCCATCTAACATACTTTGGACATGTTGCAAGGAGGGACAGGTCCTTGAAGAGGGACATCATGCTTGGTAGGGTGGAGGGACAGTGCAGAAGGGGAAGGCCCCCTATGACGTGGATTGATTCAGTGACTGGGGTAATTGGGATGGGTATATCAGAGATGGTGCAATTGGCACAGGTCAGATCAGAGTTTAGGCCTGTTGTACATAGGGTCGCTATGAGTTGCAAATGACTCGACAGCACATAACAACAGCAACAACATATTGAGAAAACTATTTGAATATCAACTTTAAAATGTACTGCAGGGTCAATTCTTTGAAAAGGTGACTTTTGCAGTCAGAAATAGCTCATATATGCAATCAAGATGCATTAATAATAATGGGTGACTAGAATGCAAAACTTGGGAACGGGGAAGGAAGATCAGTTTTCAGAAAACATGGACTTGATGACAAAAATTAAGCCGGAGATAGAATGAAAGAATTCTGTACAATCAATGATTTATTCATTGCAAATACTTTTTATAAGAACCATAAACACAGATTATACACATGGATTTAACTTGATGGTATGCACAGGAATCAGATCAGTTTTTTTCTGGGGAAAGAACTGCTGGAGAATCTCAATATCAGCAGTGAAAACTAGGCCACGTGCTGATTGTGTAACAGACCACCAACTCCTCATATGCAAGTTCAAGCTGAAGCTAAAGAAGGTAAAATCAAATCCACAAGAACCAAAATTTGACTTTTTTCTCTATCCCACCTGAATTTCAAAACCATCTCAGGAACAGGTTTGAGGCTTTGAATACTCATGAGTGGAAATCAGATGAGCTGTGGGAGGGTATCAGGAATATCATCCAGGAAGAATGAAAAGAAAAAAAAAGAGGAAGAAATGATCAAGATGGATGTCAGAAGAAACTCTGAATATTGTACTAAGCACCAAGAAGCCAAAGCAAAGGGAAGAAATCAAGAAGGTAAGTACCTGAAAAGAAGATTTTCAAAGGGCAGCGTGGGAAGACAAAGCAAAGTATTATAATGAAATGTGCAAAGAACTGGAGTCAGAAAATCAAAATGGGGTGAACTCACTTGCCATTTCTAAAGCTGAAGGAACTGAAGAACAAATTCAAGCCTCCAGTTGCAATACTTAAGGATACTCAGGACAGAATATTAAATGATCCAGAAAACATGAAAAGAAAATGGTTGGAGTATACAGAGTCATTGTACAAAAGGAATTGGTGGACACAGAAAAATTTAATGAAACAACGTATGAGGAAAAGCCAGTGATGATGACGGAAGATGTTCAAGCTGCTCTGAAGAAACTGGCAAAAAAATTTGTTCCTATCCCAAAGAAAGGTGACCCGACAGAGTGCGGAAAATATCAAACAATATCATTAATCTCACATTCAAGCAAAATTCTGCCAAAAATTATAAAAAACCTCCTAGAACAGCACACCAGCAGAGAACTACCAAGTGTGCAGGCTGGATTTAGAAGAGGCCATAGTACTAGGAATATTATAGCTAATGTTAGTTGGATCTTGGCTGAAAGCAGAGAGTACCAGAGGAATGTCTATCTGTGTTTCATTGACTATGCAAAGGCATTTGACTGTGTGGATCACAATAAGCTGTGGTTGACTTTGAGAAGAATGGGAATCTCAGAACACATGATTGTGCTTAAGTGAAAACTATAGTTGGAGCAGGAGGCAGTCGTCAGAACAGAGCAAGGAACCACTGCATGGTTCAAAATTAGGAAGGTTGTATGTCAGCATGCATCCTATCTCCATACCTTTTCAATCTATATGCAGAACAGATCATCCAGGAGGCTGGTCTCTAAGAGGAAGAGTTGGGTATCAGGATTGGAGAAAGACTCATCAACAGCCTGCATTACGCAGATGACACAACCTTGCTTGCTAAAACTGATGAGGGCCTGAGTCATTCGTTGCAGAGGGTTGAGGACTATAGACTTAAATATAGATTGAAGTGCAACATCAAGAAAACAAAGATTCTCATCACTGGACAGATTGGCAGCATCATGATTGATGGTGGTGCCTTCTTAACAGCTTAAGTTTGCTTGGCTCCACAATCAACACTTTAGTACCAGCAGCCAGGAAATTAAAAGACAAATTGCATTGGAAAAGTCTGTTGTCAGGGACATCTCCAAAGTATTGAAGACCAGCAATGTCATTCTGGCTACTAAGCTGCACCTGATCCAGGTCAATTCCTTGCTGTGCATCAGAAAGCTGGACAATGACTAAGGAGGATAGAAGGAGAATTGATGCCTTTGAGCTGTGGTGCTGGAGAAGAGTATTGAATTTACCATGGACTGCTAGGAGGATAAACAGGATCCTCCTGGAGAGGGTGACACGATGCTATTCCTTGGAGGCAAGGATTCTGAAGCTTCATCTGATATACTTTGGACATGTTGCATGGCAGGTCCAGGCCTTGGAGAGGGACATCATGCTTGAAGGGTAGAGGGACAGTACGATAGAGGAAGACCCTGCCTGAGATGGATTGACTCAGTGACTAGGGTAATGGGGTTGGGTGTGTCAGGATTCAGAGCCGTTGTACATAGGGTCGCTATGAGTCACAAGCAACTCAGTGGCACACAACAATAACAACAACAACCACCACCAAATATTTTAAAGTATTTAAAATACAGATGGCATTGACCAGCCCTGAATATAACTCTTGGCTTAATCACTGTGTAATCTTTGTTTAATCCTACCCTTTTTAAGTCTCAGTTCCTCATGTAAAAATGAGGACAACTATCTCTAGACGGTCTCTAGATTAAAAAAAAAGAAGAAAAAGAATGTACAAACATCTAGAATAGGATGAGAAAATATTTTCCAAGAGGGCAAATTATAAATATTTGAAAAACTTTGCTAAAAACATTTCTGTGTGCTTACAGTCTGACTTAGTATGCCAGATACTTCCTGTTAATATGCATTTATCAGTGTTATTTTTTTCTTTTGCCTTTAGTGGAGAAGGCTACTATCCGACCAGCAAAAAGCATGGACTCTCTGTGCTCAGTGCCCGTGGAAGGTGAGATTTTGTAATTTGTTTCTGAACAGGCTGGAGGACTGGAGTTCATAAGCAGACTTACCTTTCAAAGCTTCTGTCCTTTCAGCCTTTGTCCCAGATCCCTCGCTGACCTTTCCTGAACCCAGGGGGTTCATATGGCCCTGTGCAACTTTCTCTTCTCTATCGCAAATCCTGAAAGAGGTTTCATCTAAGCTGAAGAACACAGGTACTTTGCAGAGTCTTGCCCTTGGGCTCAAAGGGAGAAGGAAAAATGCTATCTCACAGTTTTTTTTTTTAAAAAAAGGAGCTCTGGTAGCCTAGTGGCAAGAAACTGCATTGCAATCCCAAAGGCGTGTGATTCTAAGCCAGCAAATGCTCCTCTGGAGGAGGGGCACTCTCCTCCTGGACCAGTCAGATTAGATTCGACAGTACACGCGTGCGCGCGCGCACACACACACACACACACACACACACACACACTAAAATGAAAAAAAAAAAAATTGGAACTTTATCTCACAGTTTTGAATCTGCGTCTAAATATACAAGTGTCTTGAATTTTAATTTGGATGTTTCCATAGGCATTAACTTCATAATACTTATCAAATCATGATTTGGGCTTGATAGATTCATTTGTTCATCAGTGAACATAGATGAAGCACCAGCTATGTACTCGGCTCCAGGGGCATAGTCTGTAGAAGCTAAACCCAAAGACTGCACCTCTCCAACAATTTGAATCCCCCAGATGCTCCAGATAGGCAGTCTCCTCTCATTGTAATTCACAGTCTTGGAAGCCCAATGGCAAGTTGCTAGGAGTTGGGATCAACTGTGACACAGAGAGTGAGTGATGTACTAGGGCCCTGGGAATTAATGGCATCCTGGGTTGAAGTAAGCTGTTTGTCTAGTTGTATGTAAGGTGACATTAGTCACCAAAATCTCACCTCACCAAGTTGTGTTCTCACGGGTGTGACCCTCCAGGTTGACTTGGCACATAGCCTTCATTTCTGTTGTGTTAAGCAATCAACAGGGACCGTTACAGGTTCTAAGGCAATGGGATCCCTTGATAGACCATTAAAACACCCCTATATTTGTTCTATAACTTCCAGCCCCTTTAACATACGACATCCTTCTCTTTAATAGTTGAAGCAGCCTGAAATAATATAGAAAAATCTTTGAACCATCTTAAAAAAAAAGTTCATTCCAAAGCTTATGAGAAAATACAAATGAAAACCAAGCCCAATATCGTCATCTTGGTTCTACCCTCCCAGCAAGCTTCCAAGGCTGCAAAGCTTGCTTTTTTAAATTTTTTTTTTTTTTAATTCAAGGCTGTAAATTTTTAGAGGAGGAGACTGCCTGTCTTTCTCCAGAGAAGTGAGCATTAGATTCAAATTGCTGACCTTTCTGTCAGGAACACACTATGTAACCAGCTACACTGTCTGGACTCCTGATAAGATATTCAATAAAGTTGTTTGGGTTTTTTTTTAAGTCAAGTCTTCTTAAGCTCACTTGATACTTTTTGTTTTCTCTAATCTTTATACTCATCTGTATGCTTTGGTTTCAAAGCTCTTTGTCTAAGTTTTCAAAACGGGATTCTTCTGTAGGTCAGTCTAATCGCCTCTGAGCCTCGGTTTCCTTATGCATTAAAGGAGATCTTTGCACTTACTTAAAGGGTGGGTAAGAAATCATACCTATCTGTCATCCCCCAGCTTCTTCACTTCCCATAAAGACTTTTTCTTCTTTGCCCTCACTTCTGGGTGAGCTGAGAACCCACTTCTCACCAAGAAGCTTTTTAACATTTCCTCAATTCACACTTCTAGTCTCATCCTCTGAGTCAGCAGGAGGAAGCCTAGGAAAAAGGGAAAGGTCTAGCTGAGAATGGCATTTGTTTCCGTGCTGACAAATCAAACCTCTGTCTGCCTGCCAGAATCTGAGTTAAAACAAGATAGTGATGCTTTGCCTTTATTTCCCTGCCTCCGTCATTTTAAGCAAACATCAAAATCTGCCATCTGTTTCTTTGTTGTGTTATGATCTACATCTAACACTTGAGACACGACATCTCTGTTTACCAGTTTTAGCAGCAGATTTCAACTGGAGCCAGCTCTCCCTGCAAAAATTTAACCGGATCCCATCTGGTACCACAGCACATAGGCTAATCACATTAGTACTCATGAGATTCTGTTCCCTGTCATGTCAGCCGAGTTATGTACCTGCCTTGGCTACCATGATTCTGCCACTAACTGTCTTTGGGTGGTACAAATAGCTAAGCTCTAGATTATCAGTTCATAGGTTTGGGTCAAACCCATGGACTGGCTCCTTGGGAGACAAGCCTGGTGATCTTCTGGAAGGTCACAGCCGTGAACACCCTGTGGGGTAGTTCCACTCTGGACACATGGGGACGTCAGGAGGTGGAGTGGATGGCACCAAACAACAAAACAGCACTGACCGCTGCCTTTCCCAGAAGGGAGGGTGAGGCTATGTATGTGTCCAGGATGCTGCTGGTCATGCACTTGGGTTTTTTTTTTCCTCTCATTAGGGAAAGAAAACAAAGGAAATTTCAACCGCACTGTTACAGGTGGATTTTTCATTCCAGCAACGAAAATGCACTCCACTGGCACTGGCAACTCCTGCGATCTCAGCAAGCAGGAGGGCGAGTGGGGCCCAGAGGGGATGCCAGCCGGAGCCCAGGGGAGCTTCGAGGGGGGCTGTGACCGAAGACAGCCGCAGGGTGGTCAGGCCCGGCCGCCGCCAGAACAGCTGAAGGTGTTCCGGCCTACCGAGGACCCCGAGAGTGAGCAGATGGCCCCCAAGATGCAGGGCATGTTCTACATCTCAAACGAGAACCCCAGCAGATCCGTCTTCACCAGCAGCCTCTTCCACATGGAGCCGTCGCCCCGCCACCAGCGCAAGGCCTTAAACATCTCGGAGCCCTTTGCTGTGTCCGTGCCTCTCCGCGTGTCAGCGGTCATCAGCACCAACAGCACCCCCTGCAGAACACCCCCCAAGGAGCTCCAGTCACTCTCCAGCCTGGAAGAGTTCTCTTTCCAGAGCTCAGACAATGGAGGGTGGCCTGAAGAGGAGAAGCAGGCATCTACAGGTAAGATGGGGAAAGAGAGGTAGGAAGGCCTCCTTCCGTGACAAGAGAGAAAAACTAGACCAAAATGTGCTGAAACAAAGTTTGTCAGACAATGTAGTAAATGTGTGTTGTTAGGATGTGGGCTCTAGAGCCAGGCTGCCTCAATCTCTGGTCTTTTAACAGGATCATTCTGTGCCTCAGTTTCTCGGTTTATGAAATGTAAAAGATATTCTTGATAAATTAGTTGCAATTATTATTATTATTAGTGAACATATATCAAGCTTTTGGAATGCCTTTTACATTATTGTTGTTGTTATTTTGTGCCATCAAGTCAGAACCAACCCATCACTGAACCTCCAGAGGGTTTTCAGACTGTAAATTTCATGGGATAAGATTAGTGGGTGCTCAGGAATCATGATTTACCATCATGTTTTTGTTTACTCAGCTAATGAGAAGGTGAGAGGAAAAGCTCCTAGAATGGGATTCAGAGCTGCTGTGTTGGACTGGAAGGCTTACGGACCTGGCCTATCTCCGTCCACTCATCCCTCACTTCTCACATCTGCAGAGAACGTGGCTTGGCCACAGTGTTAGCCTAGGAAACTCAGCAGTGAAAGAGTGTACCTTTCCACCCCAAGTACCCTAGACAGAATGCGGGGGAGACTCTGACTGGGTCTGCTTGGGTCACATGTCCAGCCTTCATCCCTTCACTGTTCCTAAGCTGGCAGGGCATGAGAATTGGCCAGGTTTAAGTCTCTGGACCATCTCCGGAGTGAGGAGTTCAGCCAAATGTAGGGGCAACTTTAAAGAAGTGGTGATTGACAGATAAGCCAACAAACGCTAATTCTCCTTTCAATATAGGGAGCTCTGGTAGCATAGCCCATAGGAAGTCAAATTACTAACACAAAGGTCATGTCTCTTTAACAATTCAAATCTACCAGCACTTTTCAGGAGTCAGATAGGCCGTCTCCTCTCATGTGATCTGCAGCCTCAGAAACCCAGTGGAGGGCCAATTATGAGTCTCTTGTGACTGCAGGACACTGAGCTTTAATTTTTTAAAAAAACCAGTGGTGCCACTTTTTTTTTTCTTTCCTTGTTGTGTTCCATCAAATCACATCCAACTGGTGCAGGAGATTGTCCCTCCTCTAGTGGAGCATCTGGTGGATTCGAACTGCGCACCTTCGGGATCTCAGTGTAACTTCTTGCCAGTAGGCCACCAGAGCTCTAAGTTTGGATCGTTTTAAGAGTTGAATTTCAATTCTTTCTCAGAATTAAACTTGTTTTGAGCACCTGTTATGTTGTCAGCCACTGTCTTAAGTGTTCTTCTATATGTAGACTATTTTCTGCTCCCAACAAACCATAAAGGTGGTTGTTAGTATCATCCTTATTTGCTTAGAGAGAAATTACTAACTTGCTCAATGACTCATAGCTAGGAAGTAGAAAAAAGCCAGGATTTGATTCTCAACTAAAAAATTCCATGTTTTTACGCATCCCACAGTGTTCCCTCACAGGTTTACGATGGTCCACACCCTCCCCTAATAGCAGTGAGTCCTTCCCCAACAAGCTCAGTCAGTGAACTGAAGTCAAGCACAGTGTCATCCTGTGGAAATGCGTAACAGGCTCCTTGAGCTGTTTTATTTTTTTGGAATGAGGGAAGTGCCTGAAGTAGTATGAGAGAGATGTTCAAACAGGACTGCAGAGGGATGAGGGAGAAGCAGTCCTCAGGTGAATTCTAGGAAGACTTCTCAGAAGAGTTTATGCCACGTCTTGACACATGGGCAGGATATCTCCCTGCAGAAAGCTAGGAGAAGGGCATTCTGGGCTTAGAGGAAGCAGAATATTCTGGAAAATACACGTGTTTGGGGTCCCGGCTGCTTTGGTTCAGATCCTGACAGTTGAAGGGGGGCTGATATAGTTGTTGAATATATGAAGGTGATACATTTGGATATATGAAGTGGGTTGGTATATTTGAATATATGAAGACTGATACATTTGAGTTGATTTCTCATCTGCAAAGCAGAGGCAGTTCCTATCTCAAGGACTGTGGTAAGCAGTGATTAGAAGTTGTCCACATTGCCTGCTTTAGCGTAGGGCAGATGTGCAATCCATGCTAGTCCTTTTTTCTTCCTCTTATGTTGATCAACCTTCTTTCGCTTAGCCTTTTCCTTCTTCCAGTGTAATACCTGTCAGTCATCTAATTAAAGAGCTCTGTTGGCATACTGCATTACTTGTTTGTGCTAGTAAATTGAGGGTCCTGGGTTTCAATCCACCAGCTGCTCTGAGGGAGAAAGATAGGCAGTCTCTTCCCATAAAGATTCACAGCCTTGGAAACCTCACTAAGTTGATGTCTCTTTCCAAGGAAGAGCCTCTTCTAACAATATGACCACAGTGTGTGAGACAAAGCTTAATCATTATTTCCTCCAAAGAGCACTCTGCCTTCACCCTCCCCAAAACATGTTTGTCTGGTTTTTTGCCCATCTTTGGGATATTTAGAACTCTTCTCCAACACTGTAGTTGGAAGGCATCAACTCTTCTGCCATCCTTATTCATTGCCCAGCTCTCAGATGCATAGCAAGTGATCTTAAAGAGCATGGCCTGCATCAGATGCACCTTAGTCCTCAAACTGACATCATTACTCCTAAATAATTTGGAGAGGTCCCTGACTACAGACCTTCCCAATACATCTCCCGCTTTCTTGACTGTTGGCACCGAGTTACTGCTGGAACAGTGTCCTGTAGAGGGGTAAAAGTTGCAGCAGAGAAGGATGAGTTGTGACTGGACTAGTTTTACATCATCCTCTCATTGTTGTTGTCTGAGAAATGATTCTCAGCTGGCCCTCCAGCAGATTTTCAGAGGCTATAAATCACATGGGAGGAGATTGCCTATCTTTCTCCAGGGAGTAACTGGTGGATTCAAACCACAATAAGATACACATCAGCTGTGCATTGATTCTGGCTCAACAGTGTGGAATTTGAGTTGCCCTCAGATACAGACATACTTTGATTGTTTTTCCACTTTATTGTGCTTCAGTATATCAAAGACAGTGAGGTTGGTGAGGATAGGGCAAGTTCAGAGCCACTGTTCCTAGGGTTTCAGTGGGCCATAGTGGACTCAACAGCACTAATAACAACAACAGAGCTCCTGTAGCTAGAGTAATGGGGCTTTAAATACCACAAGGGAACTGGTAGGCAGCCAGTGAGGGAAGTGGGTGATATGTAAAGGGCCTCCTTCCACTTCTTACCTTATTTTTAGTTACCTGGTGCTCCTAGAACAGAAATAACACAGTATTTCTGAAGGAATAGCTTTAAAGAACAAAAATTTCTTTTTCTAACAGTTTAAGAGTGTATCTGAATTCAGGGCTCCAGAGGATGACTCTCTGCTCATTCTAGAGGAAGGTCCTTGGCAGTCATGTCATGGATATTGTCCATCAGTATATATGCTGTTGCTTGTTTAATCTGCTCTCCTATATTTCAAGAGATTGACTTCAGAAACACCCTGTACTGTCTTATTAACAGAACAAAAGAGAAAACTCATTACCAAATGTAATTGTGACCACAGATATCACAAACTCATTGCTTATTCACAGCTGACCCACCAGGAGGTTTTCAGAGACTGTAAATCACACAGGAGGAGATTGTCCATAGAGCCACAGGTGGATTCAAACCATAGCTTAGGATTTACAATACTAATTTTTAGGGAGATGCAGTTCAGTCCACAACAGAGTCTTTATTAATGTGCATAGTCAGCAGACCCTGAGCTCAAAGCGAAATGCCAGCGCATTGTCCCAACTAAGAGATCATAGCTACAGATAGCTTTAACTTACGGGTACGTTTACCTTTTTGCCAAATGTTTCACTTTCAAGAACTTATATATCTGCACAAGAATAAAAATTATATAGATGTATCAGAGCATTATTTGTAATTCAGAAGACTGGCCATAACACAAGTGTCCATCTTTAGGAGACTGGCTGGCTTGCACATCCACACAATACTGCCCTGTGGAGTCCTGTATCTTCATGGTCTCCCCCGACTCTTCCCCAGTGCTAGGGCATGTCTCACGGACAATTTATCTGCACACAGAAGAGTCCTATCTCAAGTGTGTTTCTGGTTTTCACCTCCAGGGCCTTTTCTGAAGTGAAGCTCTCAACTAGCCCTTCAGTACCACCCACACATATGGAAAAGTAGCTCAGGCTGCCTTCAGCTGACAGGGATCTCTGGTGGCCCAGCCTTAGGGGGTTGTACTGCTAACCCAAATGCCACAGCCCTCTGGCCGTTGGACCTACCAGCCTCTCTGTAGGAGAAAGATGGACAGTCTCCTCCCATGTGATTCAAGCTTGGAAACCCAATGATGTTCTAGTTCAATACATCGAGTTGAGTTTGAGTTGCCCGCAACTACAAGCTTAAATCATTTATTTGGTTTCACTTTATTGTGATTCAAAGATGCTGTCTTTTTACCGGACTGAAGTTTTGTGGCAACCCTATGTTGGGCAAGTCTGATTGCCCCATTTTTCCAATAAGCATTTGCTCACTTCATGTCTCTGTATCTGTAGTTCTTGTGTTCAAACTTTTCCAGAATGTATTGCACACTGAACACACTACAGTTTACATGCTAGGAAAGGGGGTGGGGGAGATGTGTGACTCACTGTATTGCAATGTTTGTTTTATTGTCATGATTGGGAACAAAACCCCAGCATCTCTGAGGTATGCCTGGAATAGGTGATGGGAATCATGGATAAATGACTCAACTTCCCCTCCTTTGGAGGAATAGCTGTGAGACACATCCTACATGGTTCCTCGAAGAGCCACCAGGGAGGGAGGCCCACTGCTTAATGTGGTAATGAACGTACCAACATACCGTTTCTTGACTTTTCCGCCATTTCTTTTTTACATCCTCACTCCGGCTTCCTGTTGCCAAGGCCTTGCCTCAGACTTGACTTTGAAGGGAGTCCACATAAGACAGGCTATAAAGAATGTTCATTCTCTTTGTCTTGGTTCCCTGAGGCTGAGTATCACAAATACTATAAGTTGGTATCTTTCAAGAACAAAAATTGATGTCCTCATAGTCCTGGAGGCTGAAAGTTCAAATTAGCATCTTAGCTGTGGCACATGCTTCCTTGTCAGAGTCTCAGGGATTCCTTCTTGGTTTGTCTGTGGTTTTCCCCTGGTGTCTGTCTGTGTGTACCTTTGTGTCCAACCTGCTCTTTTGAGAAATCAGGAGTTTTTAGATCTAGAGACCACCACTCATAGCCCATATGGAGTTGCACTGCTAACCCAAAGGCCACACTTCTGGAGGTTCGAATCCACCAGTGGGTCCATGGGAAGGAGAAGGACGATCTCCTCCTGTGCAGTTTACAGTCTCCGAAAACCTGCTGGAGGATCAGCTATGAGGCTGTACCAATTCAAAGGCAGCTTCTTTGTTTTTGTTTTTATTTTTAATATATATATACTTCAGTGTGGTCTAGTTAACATAGCAACAATTTCCAACTGTGGTTACAGCCACACTTGTAGGTGTTAAGATCCCAAGACATATTTTGAGAGACACAATTTAATTCATAACATTCTACTTAAGTATGGCATGGATTTCAAGTCTTTTTGTTAAGTGGAGAAAAATGCAAAGCTTAGGACAATATATGTCATATGGTGAAAGTCGCGCATTCAGGTGTCGAAGACTTTCTTTCATAGGTTTCTATGAGTTGCCTACGACTCAACGACATTTAACAACAACAACACAGCATACTTTGTGCAAGGAAATAAAAATACATACAGTGCAGTAGCTGCTTGGATTTGCAAAAATAAATTCTGGAAAGCTAAACCAGAAATTAATAAAAATAGTTATTTGTGGGACAGTGGGAAATTGTGTAGAAACAATAGGGATGAGAGTTTTCTCAACTTCTTTGATACTACCTCTTCATATATTTAATTTTTTCTTCTTGTTGCATATTGTTGTGTCAGATCCAGCTGTCACAGGAGAAAATTGCTCCTCCTTCTCTAGCAGAGTATCTGGTGAATTCAAACCGTGCACCTTTGGGATTGCAGCGCAGCTTCTTGCCACTAGGCCACCAGAACTCCCTTATATGTTTTACTTTTGGGCTGTGTAAATGATTTACGAATATAGAAATAAAATGAAATTTCACAAAGCAAGCCTAATAAATGGTAGGCAAAGGAAAGTAGCACCACTTCAACTCAAAGGCATAATTAGCTCAACTATCAGGATTCTGTCACAGGTCAGTGAATTTCAGGATGGTGTCAGGCTGAGAACTCTTTGAGTTAAGGCACAAGAGGAGCCAGTGACGTGGAGCCCAGATTCTCTTGATGAGCAAACTCTCCTGAACTTTGTATGTCAGACATTGTACTTAATTGGTTTGGCACCAATTAATTTTGGCACCGTCTGTTTTTCAGAGCAGCTCAGTAAAGCACTTGTTATTATGCCACTGGACCAAGAGTATAAGATGGGCTGAGAAACTAATTTTAACTCAAGCTTTTGAAATTCCAATTGAGGGTCTGCTAAGTGCCAGGCTCTCCCAGCCCTCCCCTTTTAGTGTCAGGCATGTGTGTAAGTACTTCATCTTTATTCCATGCTGGGGAAGAAATCTTATACAAGGAATAAAGCTTCTCCTCATGCAAGGCAAATGTCAAGTTCAAACTTGATGTTGACCCACTTTGTCTTTGACGTGGTAGATGTTGAAAATCAGTTTAGATACTTAAATATATGCCTATTGAGTGCAGACAACTCCCGGGAGGGGTCATGCAAGACACTGGCAATCATGATCATCATGTATCTTTATGGCTTGGTGTGAACAGTGGCTTTCAGAGACTTCTGGCACAAACCTTGGCTTCTCATGGCCTCAGTTTCTTTCTTCATCTGTGAAGTAGAAGTTTGAACTAGAACAGAACTTTCCAAGCTCGGAAGTATTGACATTTGGGGTCACATAATTCTGTGTTGTAGGGAGTTACTGTCCTGTGAATTGTAGGGTGTGGATCATCATCCCTGCCCTCTACCCACTAGATACCTGTAACAGCACCCTTCTCCCATCTGCCAGTTGTGACAACTAAGAAGGGCTCCAGATGTTGCCAGATATTCTTTCTGAAGGCTGAGGGGTTTCCTGGGGAGCACCAGGTACTGTAGGTCTGGAATCTGAAGAGAGGGCATTGCTAAGAGGAGAGAGAACGCTCTCCATCCCTGCAGAGCTGGTCTAGTCCACAACAGTAACTGTGCTGAGAGCAGTCTGTCTTCATGTGAAGTTTCCTTCAACTGATAACCTATCCTCATTGCAGCTCCTGCACCTACAAAGGCAGTTCCCGAGGATGCCAAGCCAGTCCCAGAAGTGGTGGGAACAGTGGAATGCAGCAAAGTCCTTTCTTTGGAGCCAGGTGTCCAACCAGATGAGAAAAAACCCTTGGAAACTCCTCCAGGCCCTCAGCAGTTAAGGGAATTAGTGAAGAGGCTGGATCCTGAGAAGGTGGTCGAGCAGGAGCGAGAGGCTGGCCAGGAGCCCAGGGCGCTGCAGGAGAGCCCCAGGATCAGAGCTGAGGCCGTATTTCTGCAGGAGCTGGTAAGGTGGACTCTGCCTGGTCCAGCCAGATACATTCCTGTTTTTCTCAAGGGCTCTAGCTATAGGTTAAATTATTTTTTGTTTTATTTTGGTTTTCTGGTGAAGACCAAAATAGTTTCTATGGAAGGGATTTTAGGAGACAGCCTTCTAAATGTGGTCTGGCATTCTGTAGTGGACTTTTCAGAGGCCCTGCAGCAATGGGAAGGAACCATTTAGTTCACACTCCCCAGGACCAACTCAACTCCAAGTATTTTCTAACCTGAAGTCACCATAAACCAATAACATGTCCTTGGAATAACATGTCATCCAATCCCAGAATCAACACAAAACATCCCTCTCACAGTCCATCTCAAATGTAATGACCATTCATTGGGTCCAACCCTTTTTTCCAGACATCATAGATGGACAAGTATCTACACTTGTTAATAAAATCTTCTAAGAAATTCTTGGGATCTAATCCTCTCTTTTAAGGCTTCTGGAGAAATTAAAATCTGATGGCAGAGCAATTAAACATTGTCTTCTTTTGAAGTGGAATTGTTCAAGAAACTTTTATGAGATGTCCTTGGAAAGAGGAAGATATGAGGGGGTTTTCTAAGGATACTCAAGGAAGAATCCTGCACTTGAGAGGCACCTTTGTGGCCTGGAGAAAAATAGCAAAGGGAAAGAAAAATCCTTTTTGCCCTATACATGGCTTAAAAAAACTTGTCCCAAGATATACACAAAAGCACCATGTCCTGAAGTTTAGTACAGTGCTGAGGCACCACAGTAGGGCATAGGGAGGGTTCTAGTAAGGCATGTTTACATTTGTTGAAGGTGAAGAGGCAGACATGTTTATGAGCGTTGAATTCTGGGAAAGCAAGCAAGTAGATGGTATTGCTTTGAGAAGAAGATGGCGAATTCATGGGGATGTGTAAAGATATGCACTTCATTCAGATATTTTAAAACATGTATAAGACACCTACCTTGTACTAAGGTCTTGCTGAGCGTTGACATGACTACAGTGAAAAGACTTGTTATTTTCTCTGCCTTTCTTGGAGCTAACAGTCTAGAAGAGGAAAAGATTAAACATCATTTTTAAGGGTGATAATGGAAGTGTAAAAGACTCCCCTGGGTAGCATAAATGGTTAAGGGCTCAACTACTAACTGAATAGTTGACAGTTCAAACCTATTCAGAGATGCCTCAGAGGAAAAGACGATGTGTCTGCTTCTGAAAGGTCATAGCCTTGAACAGCTCCAGAGCACACACACTAGGTCACCATGAGTCAGAATCAACTTTACGGCAAGTGGTGTTTTGAGTTTTGTAGTTTATGAACACATGGAGGCTTGTGAGAGCATAGAAAAGGGGGAAGGAGAGGTATCACAAAACCTCAGCTGAGGGAAGAAGCGTGTCATAAGAGTGACACAAGGAAGGCTTCTCTGAAGAGCAGGTATTTCGTTTGAGAAGTCAGCCTGGAGAAAGGATAGAAAGGCTGGAAGATGGAGCCTTTCAGGCAGAGAAATCAGATGGGTGATAAATCTGAGGTGGGAAAGAACAGGAACCACTCAAGGAGCAGGAGCAGGGCCAGGACACCCAGCCTGGAAAAAGTGAGGCTCATCAAGAGGCAAGAGCCCCGTTAGGCAAGACAGCCTGGAAGGAATTTGAGGCGTAACCTAAGAACAACAGGGAAAGTATTGAATATATTTTTAATTCTGTCTTTAAAGGGTCACACTATTCTGGGAGGATCAGGGCTGGAGAAGGGCTAGAGAGGAGGAGAGGATGCTAATGAGCCTTAAAGCAAAACCAGAAATATTGTTGCCGGTGAGTCAGTTCCAACTCATAGCAGCTCTGCAGGACAGAGTAGAACTGCCCTGTTGGGTTTCCAAGATCCCGATTCTTACAGAAGCAAACTGCCGCACCTCTGTCCATCAGAACAACTCCTGGATTCGAACTGCTGACCTTTCAGTTAACATGGTCCCAACTACTCGACCAGTTCTGGTAAAATAAAACACAAAATACAGTGGTTTAGACTAGAGTGAAAACAATGGAGATAAAAATAGAAGGGTTTAAAGGACTGCTTAGAAGGTAAAGGACTGATTGATGAGGAGTAGAGAGAGAAAGAGAGAGTCAGCGAATCCTTGCAAGATTCTTATAGCACTTGAGATAGCAGAAAAAGATTGAGGGAAGTTTAGATACTCATTTAATCATCTAGATGTACTGATTTCTTAGTATTGATGCTTTAGTAAGAGATCAATAAATGTAGGCACTGAGGTGAATTACAGATGAGTAATAATAGCTGTCCCTCCTGCTCTGAAGGAGAGCACAGGCAGGAAGTAAAACAGACAGAAATGTGCTTTCATTGGTACAACATGGTAGTCAGGTCTCAAAATTAGCCCTGTCTTAACCAAGTAACTCTTCTCCTAGATATTTATCCAAAGGAAGTAATTGTTTAAAAAAAATTAAATTAAAAAAACCCACCAATCCATTTCAATGCAATAGACCTTTGTTGAGATCACCTATACATAGTAAACAAGATACCGCTTGACCTTGAAGAACAAGGATGAGTAAAACACAATTCCTGGCCTCCAGGAGCTTATAATGCCATGAAAAAGATAAGACAAGTATAAAGTAACTGTCCTATGAAGCAGTGTGTGATCAGAGCCAAGTGAGAAATGGTGACATGTCAGTGGAGGGCAGGCTTCTCAGGAAGGCCTGTTTCCCTACAAGCTAGGAAAAATTTCCTGAACTGCTTCTTCTAGTGGAGGATTAGGCCTGGAGACAAGAAATAAGGAGCTGAAATCTGTGCCCTTTAGCCACACCAGGCCTCTCTCAGTCCATTTCCCGCTTGCAGTTTTGGTCTTTGCGTAGGAAAAGGGAAGAATCCAGAAGCAGACAGAAAAGCTGAATTCATGGCTAAAATTCGGGACACAAAGACAGCAAACCAGATGGAAGAAGAGACAGTTCACCATCTTTAGAAAGGGACATGCCGTCATATTAATAGTGATTAAATATGGGTACGAAGAACAATCATTTTTCATGCTGCTTTTCTTTTGTATTTTTAAATTTTGCCACACAGACAATGTATTTGCTTTGTAATTTAAAATCTGAATTAATTAGAAAGCAAAATCATGGGGTAAGTTGATAGTTTCATTTCACTAGGAGAATCTCATTCTTGTTTGGAGTCTCATAAACTTGAGGTCAAAGGAAACCAGAATTTTTGTTTGTTTTATGAAGTGTCAGTGTGGAGCTGTTACATGCTTATGCTTTCATGTAGACAGAGCTGTGAGCATCTAACCTGGTCTGCTCCTCTACAATTTATGGAGAGTGTGTAGCCCATTTGAACACAGCTTTCTCTTCTATAAAATGAAAGTAATTATAGTCATATTTATGTCCTGGGTTGGATGTTAAACAAGAAATCTGAAAGCTAGTGAGTGGTTGGAGTCCGTAGGTGATTCAGATCTGCATGGTGCAAATGTTTAGGGAGTCAGCTGCTAAGGGAAAGATTGGAGGTGCAGATCTGCCCAGAGGTACCTTGGAATAAAGACCTGGTGAGCCATTGAAAACCCTATGGAGTTCTACTTTGACACACGCAGGGTCACCAAGTGTCAGAAGCAACTCCACAGCAACCGAGTTTTGGGAGAGGTGCGGGAGCAATCTCTAATAAATATATGCAGTTATTATCAACCACGTATATCCTTTATTTGCTAAGTTAGCACAGCCTAGCATTGCTCCAGGGCCTTCACTCCCTGGGAAACAATGTGGGTGTCAGTGATGACTCATTGATAAGATTCGTGTTTTGATGTTTTTCAGGATGAAGATGATCTAGCCAATGGCCTGATCTGGCCAGACATTCAACAAGAACTGAAAATCATCGAATCTGAGGAGGAGCTCACCACGTTAACACCACCGCTTCCAAAACTCAGCCCAACTCAGCCAGTTCCAGAATCCAGCGCAAGCTCTTTGGCTTCACCAGAGCCTCCCGGGAGCTCACCCCGAAGCTCCGCCCAAAGCCCAGCCCCTCTGGAAGAACAGACCAATCAGAGCACAGAGATGGCTTCGCCTGCAGCCAATGAAGAGAAACCTGATCCAACTTGCAGCCATAAGGATGAACCTGAGACGGAGCAGCGCCCAGACCCCAGAAATCTGGCTTCTCTGGCAATAGTTCCATTCGAGGTGGCGTCACTGCGTACTAGGGTGGAGGTGGGAGGCACTGGGAAGCTATCGCCTCCCCACCCGCCTGCTCCTCCCCCTCCAACTCCTTTAGAGGAATTGCCTCGAACCCCTCTGCCGGAGAGCAGCCCTGAGACAGAAGACCCCACTGGAAATTTGAGGACAAAACTGTCTTTAGACCAGCTGAAGACCAAAGGCAACCCTGCCACCCCGAATCATTTTCAGATGGATGAGGCCACACCAAAACCGAGTGAAAAGCAAAAACCAGAGAATGCTGCTCTCCAGGTCAAGGAGCCTGGTTTTCCAAGCACAACAAGGGAAGAGGAGCTGGCCCCACACAGCGAGGGGTATGCAGTCCACTGTGCACAAGAACCTTCAGACTGTGATGAGGATGACGCTGTGACAGACACTGCCCATCACGGCCTGGAGATGGTAGAGCCCTGGGAGGAGCCCCAGTGGGTGACAAGTCCCCTGCACTCGCCCACCCTAAAAGATCTGCAAGCGGCCCAGCTGCAGGGTCCCCAGAGCCACCGGCTAGAGAAGAGGCTTTCCCACAGGCCCAGCCTTCGCCAGAGCCATTCTCTAGATAGCAACCCCACTGATAAGGGCCAGTGGTCCCTGGAGGGCCCCTCCTCCAGCAGCTGTGCTAATCTTGACACACAGAGCATTTCCGACCCTCTGCAGCCTCTGGCCCCCAGGAGAGAGATGACCGGATGGCAAGAGAAAGCTCTGAGGTCCTTCAGAGAGTTCTCTGGTCTGAAGGAGGCAGAGGCCCTTCCCGGCCACAAGGGACCAGGCAATGTGCAGTCTGGAACAGCAGAATCTGGGCCCATCAGTCCAGCAGAGGGAAAGGAGCTGGTGGGGCATCTGCAGCTCAACAACCTGCAGATCAAGCAAGGCAGTGCTCCTGGACCAGAGGCCAGCAAGAAGAGTTCCCCTGGCGTGCAAAACACCATGCCTGGAGAGCAACCCCCAAAGATACAGCTGAAGGGCACCGAATGCGGGCCCCCAAAAGGGAAAAATAGGCCTTCTTCCCTCAACCTGGACTCTATTCCCATTACTGATCTCTTCAGGTTTGAGAATGTGGCTGCTTTTGGTTCACCTGGAATGCAGCTCTCTGAGCCCAGAGACTCAAAAGCCACATGGATGACCTCGTCCCACTGTAAAGCAGACCCCTGGAGGGTCCACTCCCCAAACTCCCAGGACCTGGACATCGTTGCTCATGCTCTGATTGGCCGGCGTAACTCGGCTCCTGTGAGTGTGTCGGCTGTGAGAACCTCCTTCATGGTCAAAATGTGCCAGGCCAAGGCGGTCCCGGTCATCCCACCCAAGATTCAGTACATGCAGATCCCACAGCCCCTGCCTGCTCAGAGCTCAGGGGAAGATGGGGCTCCACTTCTGGAGAAGAGTCAAGAGAAGCCCCACTCAACTGCTGTGACCTCTCAGAAACCTGCCAAAGATGATTCTCCCGCCTCCTTGGAAAGCTCAAAAAGAGAGAAACCAAAGCAAGATACAGGAGTCACTGAGTCTTCAGCGGATGCGACTGCATCGTGTGAGGGACCCACCTTTTCTCCAGAGCCAGGCTTGTCGAACGTCTCCACCCAAGAGTCAGTAGTGCAATGCAGAAAGTGCATGTCAGAGACAGAGCCATCTGGGGACAACCTTGTCTCTTCAAAAATAGAGCGATCATCTGGGGGTTCTAAGCCTTTCCACAGGTCAAGGCCAGGAAGACCTCAGAGTCTAATCCTGTTCAGTCCTCCCTTCCCTATTATGGACCACCCACCCCCCTCATCTGCTGGAACAGATTCCAGGGTCTTGCTGTCTCCTATCAGAAGTCCCATCCAGACAGTTTCCCCTGGCCTTCTTTGTGGGGAGTTGGCAGAAAACACATGGGTCACACCAGAAGGGGTGACACTTAGGAATAAAATGACCATCCCTAAGAATGGCCAGAGACTAGAGACTTCAACCAGCTGTTTTTATCAGCCCCAGAGGAGATCAGTGATTCTGGATGGAAGAAGCGGGAGGCAAATAGAATGACATCCGTTCAGCTGCTAATGTTGGAAAAGTGTCATGATTTGTCTGGAAGTGACTGCAGGACCAACTTGCTGTAATCCTATTAGGCACAGGTTATCCAAGATCAGGTTTATTTTGGCCTCTGATTATTTTTTTCCAGTCTTCCAATCATTTATTATTAATAAATTTCCATTTTCCAGAATTGTGGTCAAGGGAAGGACTAAGATATGAAATTTAAATAAATCCCTAAGAGCAAGTGGGGAAAGGTCACACAGTGGAAGAAGTGGACATGCTTGCCTCCAGTGATGTTTGGGGCTTGTGTGTAAATGGTGGTTCCCTCACTTAACGTTACCTATTAATGTTGAGAGCTGGTTGTAATAATGTCCCTTGATGCTTTGCCTATGTTGGAAAGTGTTACTGTCTAGGTTTAAAGGTCACCTCTTTACCTCATGCTTTCTAATGTTCCTAAAAATATGTTCTAAAAATATAGTTCTTGCAGAGCAGTTTTCTAATCAGCTTTGTAGAAATGTATTATCCAGAATAGAAGCAGATTTGGAAATGCAGACATTCACTTCTACACCCAGGGCATAGATTTGAACCTGCACTTTTCCTGGAACCTCTGCACACCGGTTCTAGAAGGCTCCATCCAGCGGACTCAAAACACAGCCTCTACACTCAAGAGCATATTCAGAGACTGGCACCGTCCCAGAAGACTCTGATTTGTATTCATTTGGGACTCCAGCTGTCACTTTATTGACCTCTGGTGTGTGTTAAGTCCAAAAGCTGGGCAGGATAGGGACAGAACTGAAGGTTACCTCAGTGAAATGTGCTTCACTTATGTGTGCAATAGCAAAATGAAATTATTCTCTTCCTTTTCAATAACTGAGTCCAAGAACAGACTATCACAGGGGGAAGGCTTCAAACAGAAACAGTTCTGCTCTCTAAACTTTATGTTTTACAGTGTTTGGAGCCTTAACAGACAAACATCTCACCTAGCTCAGCCTTCTTCCTTTTGCACCCTAGATTTGGACCAGGAGAGGGGAGGCTCAGGGCTTTCACAACCACTTGATGAGAACTGCCCTTTTCAAAATTTATTTCATTTTAGCCAGTGGATCCCTTCCTTTTTTTCCTTCTCCTTCCATTGCTCAAAGGTAGAATTAAGGCAACCCTCTTCCCTCATCCACTGCTCACACCAGACACTCAAATTTGCTCTTTTCCATCCATTTATAAGCAACAACAGTAAATCTGATTTCCTTTTAGTTATGTAGAGCTTCCAAGTGTCCTTTCTTTTTCACCTGGAGAGAGGAGAACTAGTATGGCCTGCTGGCAAAGTTCAAGGTTCCCTAAAGAGGGCTTCACCAGAGTCCTTCTCATGGCAAAACTCATCAGAGTATCAACTCTTCAGACTTTTCTGGAACAACCATCTTTGTGTGAGAAACAGGAGGAAGACGGGACCTATTTTCAGTGCTATGCACTGAGCATGGTCTTAGCTCCCAGCCTGGGCAAACTCTTTCCAGAAGTTTAGTCATTGCAGACATTTCTGTAAGAGCTAGTGAGGCCTCTGAGCTCACCAAGGCTAGTCCAGGGTATGGTGGAGGCTGAGCTGAAGTTAACCTTCCCCAGTGAAAAACTGAATGCAGATGCCCTCTTCCCGCCCCCCCCCCAACACAGATGGATGTTCTTCTCTATCTTCTGCCCTGATAAGAATAAGAATTGTGTTTTTAAAACTCTCATACCTTTTTAACCAGTGCCTGTGGTGAGTGTGATAAGAAGTGTCAAGTTAGCTGATGAGTTCTGCTTTCAGAGAGCACCGAAGTGAACAAGGGGAGCATTTATGGGAGCCTCTGGCAAGTGCTTTTGCATTTTCTTTGGGTGAGGAAGACAGGGACTCAGCAACCAGTAAGCTGTCAACCTGTAGGACCAGCCCCGGGGCATAGTGTCTCCCCTGGTGAAGCAAGAGGAAGCAATACAGTAATGACATATGAACAAGGCCATGTTCAAGAGACTGAGAAACACATTCCTGTCTTATCATAGAAAGTGGCAAGGCAGGGTTTGCGTCAATCTCAGTGCACTTGTGGTGTCTGAGCTTTGATAAGGACCATGTTCTAGTGAGAATGTGAGGTAGGACTTGGGCGGAGGAAGTGGGAGAACTGCACTTTGCTTCACCATCAGGGCCCTGGGCCAAGCAGCCAAGCATTTGAACTGTTTTGTGATTATTTTCTTGTTGGTAAACTCTTCTGGAATGTATTTTTCTTTTGATATAAACTGAGAAACTACCATTACATATTAACAATTCTAAGGCCTCCAGCACCTCTGTAGATTTGGAAACTGCCTACTCTGTGCTTTCAGAGTCAGATGCCTTTCTTTTGGAGCATTTTCTTAAAGAGTGTGTGGGTGGGTGGGAGTCAACATAAGACACATGGACAACTGTCTGCAGATAGCACCCCTCTTCTGATCCTTCTACCAGGGCCTTGGAAGCAGACTCCTCTTCAATCAGTGCCTCCCTGCTAAAGCATAACTTCTCTTTTGATTATGTCCCACCTTACCAAGTGTGTGTGTGTGTGTATATATATATACACACACACACAAATAAACTTCCACTGGGCTGGAGCTAGCTTTAAACTCATAAAATTCCATTTTGTGGTTAAAACCCACAAAAGAAAACCTGTTTTACTTTTCCCCCTCAAGTTACCCCCTAAAAAATATCTTGGTATTATTTGTTTATTCTTCCACTTGGGACCCCCTGGGGATGGCAGCATGGGAGAGAATCTGATTGTCTTCCCACCCAGGGCAGAAGGGGTGTCTTACTTTTATAAGGTTCTACCTGGTGCTATTGAAAGAAGTGAAGCTCTCAGAGGACCCTTTACAACAAATTACCAGTCCTAGGTGGCTGCTGTTAAAGGCTGAATTTTAAGTTAAATGCCTGCATATACTTCTTTCAGTGTTAATAGTTTCTTTAAAAGACTTGTATATTTATTTGCAAAACTTTTTCCACCCCAAAAAAGGGGTCAGTTAATAGATGGACACTGTTGTCCTGCTCAGAGCCTGAAAATGAAAAATACTGTCCAAGTTGAAATGATGGATTCTGGAGATTAAAAATGTAATCATCCTCCTCAACAAATAATGTTTACCAAGACATCTGTAATACTGCACTAAGTAATTTGAGCTCCTAAATTCTTGAAGAATTTCATGAAAACAGAGGAGGAGAGTAGTAACAAATTAAACAGTCCATAAAACAACCAGGAAGATGATATTAGGCCATTCATAATCAAATGAAAGATGGGAGTGGAGTAGAGTGGATACAGAAATGAGCATATTTTAAAAGGATTGTCCTACTGATTTGAAATAACCAAATTCAATGCAATTACAAGTTCAGTAGAAGGTACTAGTGGGACTCTGAGGCACTGAATACCTGCATTGATGGTATCACCAAGAGAATGGGGCTGGCTCCGCTGTTCCACATGGTCCTAACTCCTTTGGTTGTGAAATCCTTTGAGACCTCTGCAAACAAGCCAATTAAGATTAGTGTCCATACTCCCTGAGAGGGGCCTTTAGAGACTTCTTCCTGATAGAGTGACTTAACATCTGCTGCTGCTGACGTCTTAGGTTCAAGATAAGCTGTTACTTGTTTCATGTCTACTATTTAGCATGTGATAATCATTTTTGGGGGGAGGAAAAAACCTTCGTGGCACTCATTTCTCTACACAGGCCTTAGGGACCTGCCTGAACAAGTGTTGGGAGACATACAGTTTGTCAAAGATTCGAATGGGGCGAAGTTCCTAGTATGTCCAAGACCCACTGGCATTGATTAGGCTCACACACTGCCATGGCCAGTCCTATCTGATAACAAATAAATCTTGGGGTTAAGAGCTGCCAGCAGCATGATTTGAAATACTTCCACTAGGAAGGCCAGCTCTGGTTCTATGTTTGCTGGTACTGCATTATAGACGGGAGTCATCTAAGTTGGTTTTCTAGAAAAGGGCCTAAAATAAGAAGCCAAGCATGGGGAGTGGGGATGGCAGAAAGGTGATTGCTTGAGGTCATTGTCATTCCAGATAGTTTAAAACTGGTGGATCAGCACACAATAGCTTGTTTAGTAACCTTGACTTTCATGAGCAATGCCTACTTCTCTAAGCAGGTGAAAATGTAAGAAGCCCATGAAGTACACAGCCATGTGTTTTACTGAATAAAACTGCTTTGCAATGATTTAATGTCACAGTACTTCTGCAAAATTAAGCACTTTTCCAGAGGAGTCTATTAGAAAGCCAAAGGATTCAACTGCTGAGCTCCACAAACGTTTCCAAAGATATAATCAAAGTGGTTTCCTCTTGATTAAAAGTATAAATATTAAACCTATCCATAAAGACAAATAAATATAATTAAAACAGACTGTTATGCTTTAAAAGTTATTCTAATAAATGATACAAAACATAACGCCTGTGATGAAACTGTAAGACATAAGATGACGTGGGGGCGGTCCAAATCAGCACCCACAAAGGAGTATCCATGTCAAGCTTATTGCTCCAGTATGTTCTTTTCCTCCAGCTTTTTAAAACAGTATGATTAGAATTAGGCTTTTGTTTTATAGTTGCTGGGGCTGGATTTGGGATAAGGGTTGGTCTGGATCATGGGGTGGGAGTGAGTTCTGGGTTATGGCTTTAGTTTTATACTGAATAGTGTGGATGATGAATCATTTTTTTTATTATTATTTTGTGTGTGTGCATGTACCGTCAAATCGGATCTGACTGGTACAGGAGGAGACTGTCCCTCCTTTCCCGGCAGAGCATCTGGTGGATTTGAACCGTGTGCCTCTGGGATTGCAGTGCAGCTCCTTGCCACTAGGCCACCAGAGCTCCCCTGATGATGAATCATTTAACTGATATGGCTGAAAGACTCATCTACCTGGTCTAACACCTTTCATGCATAGCAGCTGGGGAAAGGGGAAGCCAAGTCATGAAGCCCACAGGTTTAAATGGGAAAACCAGATACCACCTTTGTGGCCTTTCAGACTATTGTGCTTTGGT